AAACAAGACATATGTATATGTACATACAAATAAGACAAAGCAAAACATAATACGACAAAATAAACAAACAAGTCATACGTTTAACATGTTTAAGTAAACAGATAATACAAAGCAAAACATACGAAACATAGATCACAAGCGATTATGCAATATTTATAAAAAATGTCATGTACATACAAATCTTACATAATATACTGAATATGATTGAAAATATGGGGGGTTGATGGTTGCAAAGCAAGGGTTGCATTTAGGAAAACTTTGTGATACGCATGTGTTTTAGCAATGATAAGGACATTGTTAATTGTGAACACATTTTTGAATTATTCAAAACAGGGGGTGGGGGTATTCTGTGTCCTTAAAGCAAGCAATACCTACCAATTCTGAAACAAGTTCCATATAATGACTTTGGCCATTTTCTTCGTGGGCGTGTTCAGTGCTGTTGACATGTGTTTCCTAGAATGACATTTCTTTATAATTACAGTGTATAATTAAATTCACTGCCCTCGATTTAAATTTTGAAATCATATTATGTGAAAATAGAAAAAAAAATATTCCAGTTGAATTTAAAAAGACAGAATTTGAGAAATTGAAATATCTAAAATTGCAAAGGTTTCCTTGTTTTTTTTTTCTGTCCAAAAAAAATGAATAAAACTGAATTCATTTTCTTTTCAATCTTGATAATTTTTAATATTTTTTATTCACAGACAGAGATATTTTTATGTAAATATAACAAATGTAACATTAGAAAGCAATAAAAGCCATTCATAAAAGTATCATAGTTAACGTGCATATAACTGCCTTCTTTAAATCTCTAAATTGATATCATAGCTAAAATGTAAACACAGTTGATATTTTACTTTGCAAATATATATTTTGTGTTAAATATCATTCTTTACAAAGCTGTATTTTACATACCATTCTTTCCCAAATCCAATAAGTTAAATCATAAATGTCTGTACAGTTTCTGTCTGGTTACGTATCTTCCCAGGGTGTAATAAATCCTTCTTTTCGCTGACCGTTGTTATGCAATAACTGACTGTTAAGGAACGTGAACAGTTGTGTGATTTATTGAGAGTACCTTGACCTCAGTAATATAAATCTTTGTAATCATCTGCATACGGGGTTTATATCAGTTGATTCGATACGCAAGAGCAATTTCAACGTATGAACATTTTCTAAAACGAGATAAATTATTGACAAAGAAGTTGATGAAACAAGAATATCAGAAGTCTCGTTTGAAGTCATCATTCCGTAAGTTCTGTGGTGGATACAATGACCTTGTCAGCAAATACAAAAATATCATTAAGTCAAATGCTCACCAACATTTTTTATTCAATTGTTAGGCCATTATTTATACATTGAATTGCCGAAAGGGTATTTCCCGATCATGACAAGAAGCACACGGTGGGTGCGACCGGTTGGTAGGGGATGCTCACTCCTCCATGGCACCTGATCCCACATGTGATGTTTGTTCTGCTCCTATTTTGTATTGTTAAATGGACTTTTGAGATTGAATACTGTTCGTTATCCCCACAAATTTCACTATATCATGATATTAGACATTGTTCCTCGACCGAATATATGTTGACAACTTACACTATTGTTTTGTTTCCAGTACCGATGGTTGATTTCCTTTTGGGTCACCTGAGTAAACTCAGGTGAGATATGTAAAGATAGCTACTAGTAACTGGCTACTACATGTAGTAGCTGGCTACGAGAAGTAAGTAAAGTTGGCTACTAGTAACTGGCTACTAGTAAATGACTTGATGACTTGAACCTTCTAGTACTTTTTTTTTTTTAATTATGCAAACTTGGGATACAAATGTTGAAATTCTTAAAGTAGCTGGATTTTACACCGCTGATATCCTTTGATATTGCTGATAAAAACAATCTCTTAGCTTTTCCACATGATCTGGAACTGAGGTTACGAAGATATCTGTAGTAATAAACTCAGTTACTAGTACCTTTTGTGTAAAATTGTGCAATTTTGGGATACAAATGTTGATATTCTTGAAGTAGCTGGAATTTTACATCGCTGATATCAACTGATATTAGTGATAAAAACGATCTCTTAGCTTTTACATATGATCAGGCACTGAAGTTATTATGATATCGTTAGAAATAAACTCAGCTACTAGTACCTTTTGTGTAAAATTGTGCTATTTATGGATACAAATGTTGATATTCTTGAAGTAGCTGGATTTTTACATCGCTGATATCCACTGATTTTGCTTATTAAACAATATCTTAGCTTTTCCACATCGTTTGGCACTGAAGTTTCAGAATATATCGTTAGTGATAAACTCGGCTACTAGTAGCTAGCTTTATTTACATTTCAAGTCATTTACTAGTAGCCAGTTACTAGTAGCCAACTTGATAACTTCAGTGCCTGATCATATGTAAAAGCTAAGAGATCGTTTTTATCACTGATATCAGTGGATATCAGCGATGTAAAATTCCAGCTACTTAAATAATATCAACATTTGTATCCAAAATTGCACAATTTTACACATAAGGTACCAGTAGCTTAGTTTATTACCACAGATATCTTGGTGTTATCAGCGCCAGATCTTGTGAAAAAGCTAAGAGATTGTTTTATCACTAATATCAGTGGATATCAGCGATGTAAAATTCCAGCTACTTCACTAATATCAACATTTGTATCCCAAAATTGCATAATTTTACACAAAAGGTACTAAAAATCCAGCTACTTCAAGAATATCAACATTTGTCTCCCAAAATTGCACAATTTTACACAAAAAGTACTAGTAGCTGAGTTTATTACTACAGATATCTTGGTAACTCAGTGCCAGATCATGTGGAAAAGCTAAGAGATTGATTTTATCAGCAATATCAGTGGATATCAGCGGAGTAAAAATCCAGCTACTTCAAGAATATTAACATTTGTATTCCAAGTTTGCATAATTTTACACAGAAGGTACTAGAAGGTTAAAGTCATTTACTAGTAGCCAGTTACTAGTAGCCAACTTTACTTACTTGTCGTAGCCAACTACTAGTAGCCAGTTGCTAGTAGCCAATTTTACTTAATTGTCGTAGCCAGCTACTAGTAGCCAACTTTACTCACTTGTCGTAGCCAGCTGCTAGTAGCCAGTTACTAGTAGCTAACTTTACATATCTACTCAGGTGACCTATTGCTGTCCGTTTTTGTCCATCGTCGTGCGTTAACATTTGAACATTTTCAGCTTCTTCTCTGCAACCACTCAACCAATTTTGGCATAAAACAGCTTTCGGTGAAACCGTGAAGGGGAACAAAAATTGTGAATGTCATGGTCCCTGCCTCCTGGGGCCTGAGGGGTGGGACCAAAACCACTGAAATTGATGCAATCTTTAAAAATCTTCTTCTTTATTCCTGGACATCAAGCAGTCAAACTGTTAGTATGAATGTAATGGGCATTGAGTCCTCTACCAAAATTGTGAAATTCATGGCCCCAGGGTCAGTGGTTCTAGTGCTAGGGCGGGGCTATATAGATTATATAGTGAAAATGCATTATTTCTTTGAAAATCATCTTCTCTGCTCCTGGGTATTTAATAAACAAACCAAATACATAGTTATGTTGAATGAGGCTGCCTCTTCCAAAATTGTGAATTTCATTACCCCAGGGTCAGGGGTTCTTGGGATGCTAGGGCGGGGCTATATAGATAATGTAGTAAAAATGCATTATTTCTTTGAAAATCATCTTCTCTGCTTCTGGGTACTAAATAAACTAAGCAAGTACATAGTTATGCTGAATAAGGCTGTCCCTTCCAAAATTGTGAATTTCATGGCCCCAGGGTCAGGGTTTCTGGTGTTAGGGTGGGGCTCTATTGATTATTTAGTGAAAATACATTTTCTTTAAAAATCTTCTCCTCTGCTCCTGGGTATTAAACCAGTGAACTATGTAAATAGTTATGATGAGGAAGGCTGCCTCTTCCAAAATTGTGAATTTACAGGGCCCCTGGGTCAGGCGTTTTGGTGTTAGGGCGGGGATCTATATAGTGAAAATGCATGAATTCGTTGAAAACCTTCTTCTTTGCTTCTTGGTATTATGCCAATGATATAAGTACATATTAATGATGATGAAACCTGACTCTTCCAAAATGGTTAATTTCATGGGCCCTGGGTCAGGGGTAATTGGGGTAAGGAGCGGGGGGTTACATAGTCTGAAAATAAATTAATGCTTTGAAATCTGCTCTCTGGTATTAATCAACCATTTGTGATGAAATAAAATTTATGATAACATTTCCAGAATTTTAAAATATGTGCGTTCAGGGTCAGTGGTTCCTGTGGGGTGGGGTGCTCAACTGGTTATGAAATGGAAATGCATTTTCTCTTTGTTACTCTGATCTACCTCTGGGTATAAAGTAACCAAAGTAAGCAAGCTAAGTGTATAGCTATGATAAGCAATGGTGCCTCTTTCAAAATTGCGAATTTCATGGCCTTTGGCAATTCAATTGTTGAAAAGTTGTTACATGATACTCAGGTGACCTATAAGGCATGTGTGCCTCTTGTTAATTAATAACGCAAGAGAACCTTAGATACATTGTATGATATTATTCATTTTTAAGTTATTATTAATTTATTTTATTCATATTTTTTTTGATATATTGTTTCTCAATAATTAAGTGGGAAAAAATGTGCACTTAACTTCCGGGTTGATCTGCTGATCTCAGTCAAATATTGATTGGTTTCTCACCATATATTTGTAATCTGAGTGTAAAATTGAATTTCTTTTTAGGGCAAAGTACTGATAAGGTGATTTATGATACCATTTTTTATTACTCGTATTTTGCCTCGTGATTTAGAACATGTCAGAATTGCAGGATTTGTAAATTAAGGTGTTAGTCGGGGGTTACAATACCTGGTGCAGAATCTCTGCGAGAAAAAATGGGGCAATTAGTTACACAGACGTACGTAATTTGAAACCATATTCTTTCAATTTCTCTAATGTAAACACATTTTAGAATTCTGATTCTGTCTTCTCTCAGTAAAACACATGAAATTTTAATTTAACCACTTTAATGAATTATTTATTATGATGTTGATATTATCATCATGATATATATAATTATACAATATACACAAGGAGGTCTAGTGATAAATAATTCCCCATCAACTATTTCATCAATAAATCAAAAGCTGTCAACTTCCAATCACATCTGTCACATGACTCGAAAATCATCTGACCTACTCAGATTTCAAACATCTCAATGCAGAGCTTCCTAAACAATAGATCAACTTATTTCTGCATTTTTAATACAATTCTAGCATCTATCACTTACAACTTTGATTAAGAAGATAATTCTCTTCCCAGGAAATATAATACCTTTTAAGTTACAAGCATTCTACTGTTTATTGCACATGACTTTTTTGTATACAATCTTCTATGTAATGGTACCTAACATCACATTTGGTTATAATTCATGCAATTTGCTCTTGTCCAGTCTGATTAACAGCCAGCTTTTTAAAAACCTGTTACTATTCTGTACTGAAAAAACAATTTATCTATATTTTGATCAGGATATAATTATATCAAAATTTTAAATAATTATATCAAAATTTTAAATATTTATATAATCTTATCCAAGGGTCTCGATTTCACTGGCACCAGTTCTATAGTTACTTACGATATTTGTATGCTTCCTTCTATTGGCCATTAAATGCACCCTTTAAGTTCTCTAAATATAAAGGATTTTAATGTGGATATTTATATGTATGTACAAGTGGTTTCCTCTTCTTCCATTAACTATTATAATCAATGCACCATGAAGAAGCCTTCATTTAACAATTCCAACAACAAATATCCTACAATTTTCAGGTACTAATTACTTTCTTATTTAATGATTGTTGGTTATGGATTGTGAAATTTACCATTCATACATTGAGTATTCATTATCATACATAGAAAATACATTGTACATTTTTGCTTAAATTCTTCAGAAAATCTAGAAATCTTCAACTATAAAAAAGGAATTATGTTTCTGAAAAATATCATCTACTTGGTTTGAATTCATTCTTAATAAAGATAATTCTTCAACAATCATTATGCTTTTCTTTCAGAATTTGTCATTTCCATATTGTTTACATAAAAAGGGAGTCAAACTCTTTAAAAACAACAACAACACACACATGTACATGAACATGTTCATACTCCATATCCAAACTTCTGAATATTCATAAACCTTTGAAAAATTGTACTAAACTACATGGAGAACTCATAAACATAGCTCATCATAGCAGAATGCACCGTAAGTGTTTTAAACATATACTCTTCACACAAATATCTCCTAAAAAGAGGTTTCCTTAATAATTTAGGTAAATATCTGCATGTTAAATGGAATGTATAATACCTTGGACATTGTGATAATGGCAATAGTTATTATCTATAAAAATTGAAGCACTTTACCTAGTATCCACCTTTTATACTTTGCTGCATTTTCCATGTCTACTCTCCCCCTATATAGTTTATGCTATATTATGACAGTGATCAACAGTTAGTGTGGTAGACCCACAATATTTTATCACATCCTAGGATCCAATGCCCAAAACAATCAACAACAAGCAATATGTAATGCATTACATGAACTAAACTTATGTTGAGAGTCTAGGGGAATTTGTAAAGATCAAAAAATATACATATATTACAAACATAAGACATTTACAATTGCAAAAATTTTTTTTCCCTAAAGCTGACATTTAATGCTTTGAATGTATTAATTTAGGAATTTAAAAGTTAAAACACACAACCCATGATACTTTTTCCTGATCATACAAACTTTTACACAACTTAAGACATCACTAGAAAGAAGATCCTTATTATTATCTCTACTCTAGCACAGTACCAAACACGGGACACAAGCTAATTACAACGGCCTAGTCATCTCAGTTCTCTCCCCTGTACAGATTATCTCCCTTTTTTACAGTCCACTGTCTATCACATGTTCTGCTCTCTTGTGTGTGAATTAGAATTGATGTTCCAATAAATCAGCTAGGATATTTGGTACTGGAGGCTTGCTGGCACGTATTGTTAACCTATACATCTGTAAAATGGAACAAAACCCATGGCATCAAATATTAAATCTCTGAATGACAAAATGCATGCATTCTGGGAGAAACTCTGATTAAATTTTATTTGTTATGACCAAAATATTTATTAAGGGTAAAATATTGAAAAGACTTTCAGGACCCATATAACATAAAGAATTGACTGTGGCAAGAAAGTTAGGGATCGACTGTCAGAGCTAATGCTCCCTTACCTGGGCAGCTTTGTTTGGTTCTAGTCGGATGAGACAGCCAATCTGGGCTGATCTGGCGTGAATAATACCAGCAGCAACATAGTTTTCTGGGTTAGGGTCTATTCCTTCCAAGACACTCACTCCAAATCCCAAAATCTAAATTATACATTATGTCAATCAGGAATAAATATTTGATATACATATACAAGTATTACAATAAAAAATCTTAAATCATTTTTTTTCTCGCAAACAATATGAAAGCTGATGATGTGCAAATTTTGCAATAATAAATCTTAGATCTTTTTTGCAAACACTATGAAAGATGATGATCTCTCAAAACACAAGAAGCACAGTTTCCTTGCTTACTTTAGTCTTGTTCTGTTCAGTGTCTATTGGAAATTTGGCCTTAAAAACTTTCTGACATTCTTGATTAGGCCTACAAAGAGAATCAAAACATCTTAACATGTTATATATTCAACAATGTCAAATTAATCAGAAATGCAGTCCAATTCCAGAGCCTGCTAGATTTATTTGACCTTCAACCTACTGTGAAAGGGCCTTCCATCTGGAGAAAAATGTGCCAGAATCCATTTCAACTGGTTCCGAAAATTTGCTACACATTACTGGAAGCTTTAGTTTCAATCTCTGAGAGTTACCATTACACCTAAAAAATATAAAGTTTCCAATAACCTGTTTCAGATTCTAATATTTACCTATGTATAAAACATTCATGTATAATTTACACATACACAGCGTCTGTTTGAGGAGGGGTGTCCGTTTACTTACGTGAAAGAGATAGCTAGAATAGGAGCCTCGGCAAACTCTGTGATACATTCAATATTGATAACCTGTTGGACCTGGGCTCCGCTGTCTATCGTGGTATCTACCGGCTTTTGTGTACATGTGATCTGTAAACCTCTGTTAAGGTCATCTACTTATTTTATTATTCTACAAGAATCTTTGTCTTCCCTGGATTTTAAAGACAAGAGTAACAGTGTTATAGATCATTAAAATTCATGAAAAACTTGATTTTATCAGATGGAAATCTCTGCTAAAAATGATAATAATGAATTTTTTTTTATTTCAATGTTTTCATGAATATTATAGAAAACTCATGAAAATTATTTATTTACATGTACTTTAATTAAAAAAAATTAATTAACATATACATCTGAATGAGAGCTCATTACTGTTCAGTAACCCAAAGACCACTGTAACTAAGTGTATGTAAAGGATATGAGATCCGAGTTCTCCTGGACATTGTGTGTCTACACTGAATCCACTGAACTGGAATGAGGTTTTGTTGCCGTAGAATATCCCCAGTCTCCCAAGGTTCTGACGGTATTCTGACTTCACCCCAATTTGTAGAAGGTCGTTTTCAAATAATACTCCATTATTTTTACAAATAAATCTGGAAAAAACAGCAAGCTTTAAGATAACTTTGTTCTGTAATATCATTTTAGTAGAAAGAAAAATTGTAAAATTAAATCTGTAGATGTAAATTAATTAATCAAATGACATTTTAATTTCATATCATTTTGAGAAAGGCAATTTTAACACAGTACAGACTTAAAGAATTATGATTCATTCAAAAATAAAAGTCTGGACTAAAAATTACACCAAAAAAATTGATTAAAATTTTAACAACACCTAAAGATGATTACGCCATTGTGACTTCAACAGTCAAGATTTAAATCTTCTTTTACACACATACTCATTGATAACTACCACAAATATCTCTCTGTAAACTACAAATGACTTACTTTTTAAAGCTTTCTTCAGCTCCAACTGTCAGACCATTCTCATCCACTCCATTGGTAGATGGCCCTGACCCCACTGTGTCGAAAACGTCCACCAGGAAACTCCCCGCTGAGGGCCCCGTCTGAGTGGGGGCGGGGGAATTCAGGCCAAGTAGGTCGTCCGAGGCCGTGCTGGGATTGGACACTGTAGATAGCTGTAATGCATAACAAGAGGCCCATGGGCCACATCGCTCACCTGAGAAGCTTTGACCATTCTGTTCTTTACCAGATTTCACCCTTGTTATACATAATGCACCCCCACATTACCCCACTGATCATAATTTAGACATTTTGAAATCTACACTACCCCATGATCCTTCCATTGGCACATACATGTATGTTTCAGCTTTTTTGGCCCAGTGGTTCCTGAGAAGAAGATTTTCAAAGATTTTTCTTATATATTTCTATGTAAAACTTTGATTCCCTATAATGGCCCCGCCCTTCCCCCGGGGGTCATGATTCCTACAATTTAGAATTTACACTACCCCAGAATGCTTCCACATAAGTTTCAGCTTTTCTGGCCCAGTGGTTCTTGAGAAGAAGATTTTCAAAGATTTTTCCTATATATTTCTATATAAAACTTTGATTCCCCATTGTGGCCCCGCCCTTCCCCCGGGTGTCATTATTTGAACAATTTAAAATCTACACTATATCAGGATGCTTCCACATAAGTTTCAGCTTTTCTGGCCCAGTGGTTCTTGAGAAGAAGATTTTCAAAGATTTTTCCTATATATTTCTATGTAAAACTTTGATTCCCCATTGTGGCCCCACCCATCCCCCGGGGGTCATTATTTGAACAATTTAGAATCTACATTATACCAGGATGCTTCCACATAAGTTTCAGCTTTTCTGGCCCAGTGGTTCTTGAGAAGAAGATTTTCAAAGATTTTTCCTATATATTTCTATGTAAAACTTTGATTCCCCATTGTGGCCCCGCCCTTCCCCCGGGGGTCATGATTCCTACAATTTAGAATTTACACTACCCCAGAATGCTTCCACATAAGTTTCAGCTTTTCTGGCCCAGTGGTTCTTGAGAAGAAGATTTTCAAAGATTTTTCCTATATATTTCTATATAAAAATTTGATTCCCCATTGTGGCCCCGCCCTTCCCCCGGGTGTCATGATTTGAACAATTTAGAATCTACACTATACCAGGATGCTTCCACATAAGTTTCAGCTTTTCTGGCCCAGTGGTTCTTGAGAAGAAGATTTTCAAAGATTTTTCCTATATATTTCTATATAAAACTTGATTCCCCATTGTGGCCCCGCCCTTCCCCCGGGGGTCATAATTTGAACAATTTAGAATCTACACTATACCAGGATGCTTCCATATAAGTTTCAGCTTTTCTGGCCCAGTGGTTCTTGAGAAGAAGATTTTCAAAGATTTTTCCTATATATTTCTATATAAAACTTTGATTCCCCATTGTGGCCCCGCCCTTCCCCCGGGGGTCATGATTTGAACAATTTAGAATCTACACTATACCAGGATACTTCCACATAAGTTTCAGCTTTTCTGGCCCAGTGGTTCTTGAGGAGAAGATTTTCAAAGATTTTTCCTATATATTTCTATGTAAAAGTTTGATTCCCCATTATGGCCCCATCCCTTCCCCCAGGGGTCATGATTTGAACAATTTAGAATCTACACTATACCAGGATGCTTGCACATAAGTTTCAGCTTTTCTGGCCCAGTGGTTCTTGAGAAGAAGATTTTTTAATGACCCCACCCTATTTTTGTCTTTTCTTGATTATCTCCCCTTGCGAGGGGATATGTCCCTTCATTTTAACAATATAAATTCCCCTTTACCCAAGGATGCTTTGTACCAAGTTTGGTCAAAATTGGCCCAGTGGTTCTTGAGAAGAAGTCGAAAATGTGAAAAGTTTACAGACGGACAGACGGACGGACGGACAGACGGACGGACGACGGACAAAATGTGATCAGAAAAGCTCACTTGAGCCTTCGGCTCAGGTGAGCTAAAAATATCTACATAGCATGAGAATTAGAAAATTCATGTTTTCAATATAATCATCAAAAGTTAGTTTTCTTCCTCTAATTTCTGTCACTTGAAAGAAAAACATGTGTTCAAAACATTCACTTGAAGAAGAATAGGTACATGTATGTGTGTGTGTGCTGATATGTAAGGTACATCTGTTATGTGATGTCTATCCTCAAAAAACAAACAGAATCAATACAATTACACAGGCAACAGAGAAAATAGAAGACAAAATTAAAATTTAATATTTAAATTTTAAATTAAGTAAAATTTAATATGTATATGTAATTAATGAAAGAAGAAATCATGTAACAAGATGTGATTACATTTTAACATGTGTCATTCAACCCTTAAACTACTATGCAGGTATGATTCTGAAGTAATTTCCGCATGTTATTGGTTTTGGTGCAGTCAACAATGTGATAATTCATGAATGCAGTTAATAAATCATTAATAAATACAATGCATTGTGTAGACATGTGTAATGCAAATTCATATTTATGCGAACCACTCAATTCCCAGTGAATGCACTAATTTATGAATACATAAATGACAGTAATAGTAACTCACAGGAGGGGAAGTGGGTGTGGGGGTGGCGTAGGTGTTATAATAAACAATAAGAGTAACTCACAGGAGGGGGTGTGGGGGTGGCGTGGGTGTTGACACTGTTGCTCATCTGAGCTTGTGGCATTGGTTGTTTTGGTTCCTTGTTCTCTGTTTGTTCTGTCACGGTTGGTTTCTTCTTTTTCAGTTTGGCTAAAATTGATGATTCTCTCTCTGGGAAGGGTGGCATTTCTTCCAAAACTGTTGCCTACAATAATCATCAGCAATTGAAGCATCATGTCTCTGACAATTTATCTATGGTATTATACAGGGCAATGCACATGAACATGCTATTTAACATGTACATGTTGTACAAATTTTATGCTCTGTAGTGCTTAAAATTGCATTACTATATCTTCTACATGTTCAATGAAATGTAACTATGACTGACACTCAGAGATAAATATTTACCAAAACATCAGTTGATGCCACCGTGCTTAACTGTAGATACTCCACACTTCTCTGTTGTAATTCAACATCTGAATTTCGAAGATTATTGTCACTTTTTAAAACCTGAAATGAAAACAAATTGCAAATAGGCATTACTTACATGTAAATGCCAAATAAGTACATGTATAATTACTTTATGATAATATTTTGATTTAATTCAAGCCTTTTAAAATCTTGGATAATGACTTCATTTAAAGATGAAATGGTCAAATTTGTAAGAAATCTTACATCTTGAATTGTTGATTTAATCTCAGGAAACAGGTTGACAAACTTGATGTATGTAGACAGGAGTAATCCGCGGGTGGCGGGGCCACACAGATGGTACTTAGAATGTAACAGCTGGAACTGGACAAGTGGACTGCAAAGAGAAAGTAAAACTAGAAAACTGACCACTCAGGTGGTACTTAGAATGTAACAAGTCTCAACTTTCTAACAAAGACATTTTAAAATCTATTTTCATGACAAATAATATAAAATTGCTATCTTAGGATATACCTACAGCGTATTTAGATGCCACATAGAAATGCGTACCTTGGAAAATAAACTATCATAAAAGTATGTCAACTGACCTAGATCTAGGATCCCCTGCAATAAGATTTCCAAACTCCCCTAGTATGTATCCTCCTACTTTGACCATGTTCTCATGACAAGCTGGGGCCTGCAGTGCCTGAAAACGAAACAAAACATCAATAATTCTGTTTACAGATAGAATAAGTTATTAAATTCATGAACATGAATGTGAAACTTCAGGGAGCTAATATCCTAATGACCTACCTCGAACACAGTCTTTGCAGCATACCCTTGTACATCATCCCTATTTATCACAATCTGTATGACTCGGTACCACACCTATACAAAATTTAGAAACACGTTATTTAAGATTAAAAAATGTCTAGAATCATTAATACAGTATATACATGTAGTAAGCATGGTTTAATTTTTTTTATTTTAACACTGAATGCTCAACAGTTTTTTTTTTTTCATTTGAAGTTGTCCAGCATGCTAACGACAAGATCACACCCACCTCCTCGCTGACGTAATCCCCGGAGATACGGATCAGATTCAGTATCACGTCCACGTACCAAGTGTAGTCCACCGCGTACTTCTCTGCCAGAATGGCCACCTTCAGCACCTACAACAAAAAGAATATTACGATTTCAGAAATGTAAAAGTGCTGAATATTTCTTAATTCTACGAAATTTCATATTAAATATTACATAAATTGTACATATATTAGAAATGTACAAATACATGTACTTGAAAATATGATTAATACATACAACTGATAACAATTTCTTCTCCTCTATAAATTATAATTGTACTTAAATTTATAACTGTATTTTTCCCTGTTACTCCTTATTCAAGCCAATTCAATGTCAGAGTTATTCTCACATTTCATTCGGATTCAAGATAATTAAAATATATGTACACTTGTTTAAAGTCATATTTTTATTCTATAAGATCGATTGTATCTCAACACTAGCATTACTTCAATAATGTAACCACCGCTGCTAAAACTTAATTACTGTTGTGTAGAGTATAAACATACCATCTCCTCTCTTATTGAGTAGTCAGCAGTTTCTAAATATTCCAACATTTCCCCTACAATTTCTTCCGCATTTGTTCTGTCACACATGGCGTACAGAAGATCCACTGCCCTCTGTCTCACACTGACGTCTCGCTCAGTCTAAAAATAGAGAAATGAGTTCACAATCACATCCCAAATCAACTAAACTAACAATGTATATACATTTGTGATAGTGTCTGGTCCTTACAAAGTGTCTATCTTTCATATCAATGAAGAAAAGATTTAGCTTAAAAAACATTATTTCTTTAATTTACATGTTATTGCAATACTTTTTTCTCCACTTGGATTCTGTTCTCTTTCAACCGAAAAACTTATATTGAAGAGTGGCAAAGTGGGGGCATGCTTTACAGTAATATGTCATATGTTTTTTTTTCTACTCATATCTTCATGTATGAACAAAAATAAAGCAACAAATTTACACCAATATAAAAGCTCTAAGTTATTCAATCAGCTTATCTTTGTGAACATCTACCTTGATTTTAGTTGAAAAAAAAAATGATTTATGATATCCTTTTACTGTGCCTACTTACAACATATTTATCAAGCCCTATTTTTTTAATAACAGATTCTGTTTGTCTTTGGACTTACCTTTAATGAATTAACTACAGTTTCTTGGTGTTTTTTCACTGCCTCGTGTGAAAATTCAGATGTTGCTAACAAACACATGCTTTCCAAAGCCAAGTATCTGTTACAAAAGGAAAGGTATAGCATATTATTCATTAAAACATTATCATTTTAAATGCATAGGCTCTGTGGTTATCAAATAACATTGTGAATCTTAAGATACTGAAAAAACCCATTCATGAAAACCAATTTCAGCTTTTAGTATGTTAATTTTAACAATATTAATAATTTTTTACCAGACCCTTTGTCTAATTTTCATTAATAAAGTCTTTCTCAAAAATAAAACAAATACATATAACTACAATGAATGAAGGAACATTCAGCCTTGTGTACTATACCTTAGGTTAGTTTCCCTGTGTTGTAGAAATTGGCCCAGTTGGTTACAGGCCCTGACTAGAAGGTTAGGATCACTGTCCATATGAATAATTAGGTTAATTGCTTCATTAAGTACTGCATTTTTGGCATTACCATGCTGGATCTTTTTAGATTTAGGAGGTTCCTGTGCTTTATTTAATATAGTTTCTAAGCACTCTGTTAACCTTGTTCTTACAGCTGGGTCCTCTACAGAAACAATGAAAAAAATGTTCTTTAAAAATTCACATTTCAAATAATTTAAAAACTTTTCAATTTACCATTTAGGTAATTGAAAACCACTCTTTTTGAGATAGCTGACCTGGAGGAGGATAGTTCTGTAGCAATCTTAAGAGTTTAACAGATAACCAGGGAGCCGGTACAAAGTAATAGGTGTAGTCCTGGAGGTCTGTGTACGAAGCTGTCACAATCTGAAAATGAGGGCATTAATAAAACTACTAACTGAAAGAAAATTTTATTTTTTCAGCATTGAAAAAGATTTTTTTATATATATATAAAAAAAAGATATTGCTTGTGTAGTTTTAATCTATTGAATTTGGATGTCAATGGTTCTAAAAATAATGCTATGAAAAATGACAATATCTGAATTGCAGGAAGAGGAAAAAGGAGTTATTTCCCTTATTGTACTACGTTGTTTTACCAAAACTGAACTGATTGTGTTGCCACAAAAAATGATGCGAATCTTCATTAAGAATCAAATGAACAAATTTAAGATTACTCAAATAAAAAGAATTGGAGATAAAATTCTATAAATGTCAAATTACTTGAGTAAGTTGTACATGACTGTGTCTGTGACATTTAATGTCTGACAAGAAAATCAATATAGTTGGTATCAAATAATCAACACAATCCTGTGACTAAGTGACAATTACCCTACTGAGACGGGACACCGCTAGTGAAACGCATCCCTTGTATTCCTCGGGGTTCTTCTTGACCAGAGCTTCAATTAGACTTGCTGCCGATGTGACCACCCCCAGGTGCTGGTCATTAAGTAAGTGAATGACCCTTGATGACCACTCTCCTATCTGAATGTATTCAGGTGACGTCCGCAACAATCGGAGCAGAGTCAGCGCTGCACTCTGTTTGACAGAATCGATAGTTTCACTGCAACAAACACAAACCATTCATCTTAGAGATGTAAAAACAATGCTCAGTCAAGATAATTGTAGATTACTTATCATTAACAAAAACATTAATTTCTAAATCTCTGTGTTTTAATTGTTCTTAAATGTAGACAGATAAATACTGTTCTAAAAATTTGAGACATATGTACACTTTCTATTTTTCTGAAACACACATATATATTAAGACTGAAATTTTCTTAGACATATAGACATTATTCCTTACCCTGTGACCAGGAGTTTGGGGATTTCGTTGCCCAGCCCCTCGGCCATTTCCTTACTCCCAATGTTTGCTGTACACTGGAGTGCCAGGTTAACATGGACAGGGTTTGGACTGGCCAGGTCATTCTTAATGGACTTAATGACCAGCTTTATCAGATCATTATTGGCACTAATCATCACAGAAATAAACAGGTATCCCTGAAAAATACCAAAGTATCTTACTGTATCTACATACACAGACAATGGGAGGAGGATGGATGAAATAAATATTGTCTTTCCTCAGAATAGCTGAATATTTTAATTACTTTTCTGTTTTACATGTAGAGCTTTAACTAATATCAACTTTATATTAAGTCATTGAAGCTACATGTATTACTATGCAAAATTACCAAATTATAAGCTTGGCTAGGAAAAATTTCTGACCATAAAACTCTTTGTGTTGCTTTGTGTGCTTGTTTGAATCAGTGAAATGAATGAAATTTCAGAATACAATTGACAGTGTGTCACTGCAGAACTTGTCTGCTTTTTGTGTAGACTTACAATCTTTTTGTGTAGACGTACAATCCGTTTTTCTGTTATAATAGATTCACTGTTCTACTGTGATACAGTGCAGTACACTCTGTTTTTCTGTGTTTCAATAGACTTACAATCTGTTTTTCTGTATTACAGTTGACTTACACTCTATTTTCCTATAGATAGGGCTTAAAAAAAAAAAGTTTGTTTCCTGTAACATTCCCAAAAAATCAAGGGTCGGTAGGTCGGATTTTCTTTTTTTTTTTTTTTTTTTTTTTTGCTTATGAATGGTCAAACCAAACATCCCCGGACCGAAAATACCAGGTGTTATATTTACAGTGGACACCCAATATGGCATCCAAAATGGCTGCCAAGCAGGCAGAAAACGAACTTCAGAAAGTTGTAGGGGGAAACTGTTGTTACAATAATGATTACTCTTTATATTTAAGGTAAATGTACACCAAGTTGACATATTTTATGTCTCAAATTCAGCTACAAGCTATTTTTTTAAATTTAATAAATGGAATCAGCTGATTGATCAAACTCAGTTTTGATATCTGGCAGAAAAAAAATCCACCCGGGGATAATTTGAATGGGTCGGTCGGGTTACAGGAAACAAACATATTTTTTTTTAGGCCTAGACTTACTATCTGTTTTTCTGTGTATCTGTTGGAGCTCAGTAGATTGACAGCCTCCATGTATCCAAAGTCTATGTCGTGACCAAGGAGGAAAATAAACAGAAGTTTACACACATACTTCTTCTTGTGGTAGCCATCTAGAGTCTTGTCACCTGTGTTAAAATATTAATATTGATTTTAAGTTGGCTTTATGTTTTCAGAATCCATTTATATAAATGTCTCAAAAAAAAAAGAAAAACTTAAAACTGCATCTTAGATGTTTGAAATTTGGAACAATAGTGTTTAACTTATTCATCTAATCATTAAATACTTCTATATTTTCTCAGACTGTTCTAGAAATATATTTAACCTTGAAAATATTTCAAAAAATATTCCAGGCTGACTTTTTTTTTACCTTTGAACTTTGACCTGATGTTGGCCAACTCCTTGTTTATTCTTTTGATTTCAGCCTCTTTACTTTTGCCTGCAAAAATCAGAATGACACAATGAACAGAATCTTTTAAGTGGAGAGTTGTTTAAGTGTTGTGAGTGCCTCATTAACAGGGCACTATACATAAACCACAATACTCTGATGCTAGTGAGCTACAGAGAAACACTTTAATTGATGCCCTTGTCAACATAATTGATAAGTACTTTACAATAAAAGCTACTAATGTTTCTCCATCTCAGTATTCTGACATGCATACCTTCGTCATTTTTCTTGTAACATTTTCCCTTTTAGTCTCTCATAATTCAAATTTGGAAATTTATAAATTCTCAACAATTTAATCAAAATTCAAATTCAAGGAATAGTTCAAGGATTGAAAAGATTTTATTCTATTTCAAATTATCTGCTAAGTGATCATGAAATTTTTTAACTGTTTACAAAGGAACAAGATGTAAATGACCAGGCCTAGAAAAAAAATATGTTTGTTTCCACTTTCCCAACCGACCCTAATTTATAGTGCCGACCCTAAATATTTTTTAAATGCTTTTTTCCCATGATGTGCAAGATTTCATCCAGGGAATTATAGCCTCAACTTTGCAAGCTTTTCAAGACAGAAAGAAGTTTGGATCACCTTTCTATTATAAGTTTAAGTCACAGAAATGCTTGAAAACACCATTTCTTTTGTCATTAATGTTACTTCTAGACATGTTTTGATTAAAGAAGTAAAAAGAAATTTTTCAAAAAAAAAGAAATTGCCTACCTACCTACCTTATATTTTTTCGGCCTGAAAGCAGAAACAAACATAATTTTTTTCTAGGCCCCATGATAATGTAGTACATTTTCCTTCTAAAAGGATATTGATCTTGGTCTGATTTTTACCTTGAATCCATATAATGACAATCAAATTAATGTAATATGTCAACATGCAATAACTCTGGACAAATGTAAAACGCTTTTCAATTTTAGATGATATGTCTTGTAGTCAATTTTTACCTAACACTGACTACTTTAATGCCAACACCCTACTAATTCTTTACTTCAGAGTCTAGATTCAACTTTCAACTGACATTACATGTATGGTACTTGAATAATAAGGACTATAGAACATAAACTCAAAGCTCCCCCAAAAAGCTTTATGACAATTATAAATCTTAACAATGTAGGTTGCATGCAGCATCTTAAATATGAGTAGTAATACTTGTCTTCTTCTGTGAGTAAGTCAAGATTGGTCATTTTTGGCCTCGTAATTACTTGGAAATGGACCTCTTTCAGAAACTTAATCCTGATCAATTATACGCTTAAGCAGAGTAGAGATTTTACAGGCAGTATATGAAACTTCGCTAGCAAGGGTTAACAATCAATGGTTAACATGATCTCCTGAGCTGATCTTTCCTTCTGATGTGTACATGTTATTTAATCAATGACTTTAGAATATCTTTTTAGCATATATATTTTTTAAGTTTTGCTTTAGAGCATTAATACTCCTGAACATATTAACTGTAATGAAAAATCAACAAACATGAACAATGAACCCATTACAAGAGATACACCACAAATAACCCTATTTGATTTCTGTACAAAAGGCTTTCATTAGAAATGAGAATTTTCTGTCATGCAGTACTAGTCTCCCATGATCAATTAGATTCTAACCATCAAACATAAATCTGCACATAACAGTCCCTAGAATCAATACTCAGTTACAGCCTAGAATCTCTGTCCTTACAGCCAGATCAATAGGACTGCCTCAGTCTTACGATCAATGTAGACTGGCTTACCTTATAGCCAGCAATCAAACTAAACACAATATAGGGGTTAAACAGATTTGTTTTCATCACTTAAAATATTCCCTGGCATTGCTCCTGATCTGAAGATTTAAGATATTTGTTTTAAGCAAGAATCTTTTAATTTTATCTTTTTTCTTTAATTAAGATGCTTACGAGTTAAATAGAATGAGATTTAACTAAAAACGATTTTTTATAACCTTCCTCATGAATCATACTTAATAAATCATTAATCAATTAACTGCTTCAAGGACTTTCATGTATTGGTTCTATGTCAGACATTCATAAAGAGAAAATGTTGAAACTTGCTGAACACCTTCTGGTACTTTTTAAAGCCATAAATACAAATGATATTACACTATTAAGTTTTATCATTTTAACTTTTAAGAGTGGGAGACATCAAACTCTTCACATATATAAGTATGTTGTATGTAAATGTTCCTTGTTTATTAACCTATTATTATATGTGCATACCATTTACATATCTATCTTATCTACAACTGTATTAAGGTCACAAAGCAAATTATTACACAGGTTGCTTTCTTAACTGAAAATATGATGATAGAATGTATTCGACTTCCTTCTACAAATGACACAGGTAATTATAAGGATAATGATCCTGCCGACTGTTCCTAATGTCTTAATGATGATAGTGTGAGGAAGAGCACCTGTTACATCAGCTGATCAATACCTGTATACAGCGGAGGGAAATACTATCATCAGCTGATTAATTATTTACCTCTCACTAACAGGTGAAGGCAATGTCCTTACATGTGTAGGAGATTCAAATATTGAAATCATTACCCTGTACTCACTTTCAAGACTTGATTAATATATTCTCAGCAGAATTATATTTTACTTTTAAAGGCTAAGCGATACATGTAATGGTTCACATATACTGTAGAAGCACAAATTTTCGTGGGGATAAAATTTCGTTGATTTGTCATCAAAAATAGTTTCGTGGGCATTTAATTTCGTTGTTTTGAGTGTAATTCCATTCAATATATAGTCATAAAAAATTTCGTGTGGGATTTAATTTCGTTGATAATTGTTAACAACGAAATAAACGAAATTTAATCCCCCACGGATATTTGTGCTTTTACAGTATTTCAATACTCTATTATCTAGTACTAAAAGCAAAACAGTATTGATTAAAATAAAACGAACAAATATAAGTATGATTAACAAATCTACTTTATGAGGCAATAATTTGCATAAAATAGTATTATAGTAAGTAATTTCATTCATAAATAAGCATGTTACCATGCCAATTTAAGGGCATAATTATTCTATGTAGAAATAAAAGCTTGATTTCAAGTTTTCAACATTAAATCTTTGAAAGCATTTTACAATTACAATGTACAGTAAAACTTGTTTAGTATGAACACGGATATTGCGAATTCATGGATATAGCGATGTTTACTTGGATCTCCAACTATATAATTTTACAAATTCATCATACAGATAAAACGAATTACGTATATAGCGAAGTAATTTCATCGGTCCCAGTGAGTTTTACTGTATTTTCTTAATTATTGATATGGAGATATTTACTCACACCAATATTTGGCAAGTTATTTCCCTTACTAAAAGGGTGAAAGATTTTGCTTACAAATTATGAATTTTATACTAGATGAAGACCCTCAGTCCAGGCACATTATTTCCCTTTATGACACAGAGAGTTGTAACCTATAGATATGAATATTGGAGATGGGGACCAATAGTCCTCAGGTGTTATTTCCCCTATAGTTATGGAGAGTTACAGACATTACTTACAGTTATGAATGTTGGAGCTGACTACTAACAGCAGTCCCTTCACATTACCTCCCCTAGTGTTAAGGAGAGTCATTACTTGTCTTACTACAGATGAATACTAACAGTCCCCATGTTTTTTCTCTCCTACTGATATGGAGATTACTTACAGTTACGGATGTCGGAGATGAAGACCAACAGTCCTCGCATATTATCTCCCTTTACAGCAGGCATGATGCCTTGTTTAGATGGACCTAAAAAAAATAATGTAAAAAGCATTTAATCCTAAGATTTTGACTTTTATAACCTTAAAAATAAAATGCTCAAAATACAAAAAAGTTCCAAGGTAAATCTTAACTGAAGAAAAACAGGTTTGTGTAATTACAAGCTTATCATAAAGATCATCATATGAATACTTCTTTCTAACAATTCAAAATTTGGGATTTGTTTAAAATTGCAGACATTACAGACACTTAGTCTTTCAACAAGTACGTCTATGCTACGTTCCATATAAGTATGCACTTGGAATTTTCCTTAAGGAAACATATGTTTGGTCACAGTCACAATGACATTTGAGTACCAATGAAATTGTCAACAGCTATTTTGAATTTTTCATGAATGAGGAAATATTTTCCATGTGTTTTACTTTAATAGATGATAATGAAAGTAATGCAGTATATCATTCATCAGAGCTTTCCAAAGACCTGCTAAATATTGAATAATGTGTAAACATTAGAGATTTCCTTCTAAACAAATCATATTTTTTACTACAGAGTGAATAAAAAGACAATTTAACAAATATTCAAATACACTCAATATCCTGGTCATACATTCCTATCAGGTAGAAATTGAAAGAGTTTACTGTAAACACAATACTCTATATTCTGGATGATGTGGTTGATGCTCATTTATTGTATTTATTGACACCAACAAAATGTTAATGATAAAATTGTGACAATAAGTTTCTAAATGAAATCTGCTTTTGCAATACTATTTGAATATCAAATATTGATAAGAACATCATTTAGGTTAAATATTCCTGATTCCTCCTGCTGTCCAGGACTCCTAAAGTCAGGAGCGGAGTCATAGCAATTGCCCTAGGCTATTCTCACTCTTTAGGCCATCCTTAAAAAATTGTTTTTTTGCGGTAACGCGACCGACTCACCAAAATCCACCCTACTGGATTTTTTTTATGGGTTCAAAAAAAATTTTTTTTTTTTACATATCCATTTTCTAATTTTATCCTATTGACATTTTTTTAAATTGCAAAGAGTTTTTAAAAAATACTGATGTGTTCTGATACTTGAACAATAAAAGATTGGATCATTAAGAACATTTTCTTGTTTGATTAGAAACAAAAGTGAAAATACCTCTGTATAATTGAAATTTAATTCTGACTTTTTGTCTCCAAAAAAAAAAAAATAAGCCTACCTACCTACCCACACCTAAAATGATGAGGCGCGTTACCGCAAAAAAAAAATTTTTAAGGATGGCCTTAAGAAGTTAGTGGATATATCACATGGGCAAAATAATTACCATCGATAATAAAACATCACTTAATGTTTCATACTAAAGTCTGATAACATCTATAATGTTTGCATATATCAGGGAGATTGTAAAAATAACAATACAATCTGCAAACTCCAAGTTCCAACACCTCAATATGCAAAATGGAATTGATTTCTACCATTTCTCGAACAAAAAGTCATCATTTTCTATGAAATTTGCTTTCAATCTTTAGTTATTTCTGACCAAAATCAAAGGGAAATGTATAATTTTGATATACGGTGCAAAACAGAATTTCTTCTCCACGCCGGGGGTGTCACTTCCTGTCTGTAAACATTATTTCTTCTGTCCGTCACCGAGCTTGTCGTTACACAAAATTAAGGAAGGAAGCTGAATGAAACAATCTTTCCATTCAATCTTCGACGCAAAATTACTTCAGAAACTCTCACTAAAACGGATGCAATAAATGGAAATGAACTTACCAACAATTTATTATATTTAATGTTGTAATGTAAATTACTCCCAGTTTTGATCAAATGCAATACTACAACACCAAATATCATCATGTATATTATTTTTGTATTACCTTATCCCAGAAATCTATCGATGCTATAATCGCAAACCACTTAAAAATACAAATATGTTATTTCGGGAGGTGGGTCATCGGCGAGAAAATAGTCGCCATTTGCAAAATTCGTGAATGAGGTCACGACACCCACTTCCAGTTGCTGTCGATATTTTCTGAGGATCGAACCCGACTAAAAAAAATTAGAGTTGAATATACCCCCCCCTTTTCCCCAATCCCCCTATTTTTTCTTTTAGAACTCAGTTATTTTTAAAGTAATGTTATTTAGAATATGAGTAAATGATGTTAAATTAGTTCATTTATGTTAATTCAAAGAAAAAAATGTGATTTCCGAATATAACAATTGGATTGGGATTGGAAGGGATTGGGAGGGATTGGGAGGGCTCTCATATAGTCTTTTTTTCTCCCCCGCTGAAAGTTGGGGATATTTATTTCGGTCGGTCTGTCAGTCCGTCCGTGTGTCTGTCTGTCTCTGTATGTAACTCTTTCGTTACCACGCGATATCACGAAGTTTTGCAATTTTAACAGTTTTACAACTTCCTATCGACCTATGGCCTAAAGAAAACGCCTGCTGATTTTGAGGTCAAAAGGTTTAGCAGAGGCTGAACTAGACACACTTGCTTTTTTGTAAAATTTTGACAATGTAGAATGTGATGTAAACTTGTATATGTGACATTCATTTTGTATTTAATTCCCCTCTAGCACCTTTGGTCATTGTTAAAGTTTTACATTCGGCGGACAAAAGTAGAAAAAATTCAAGACCGTAGGCAGTCAAGATCCTCGATGGCCGAGGATTCTCGCTTGGTATGTGAGTGGAGTCCAGTTCTTTTCTGAAATGTTTCTTTCCTTTTTTTTTTATTTTTACTTTTTTTAATTTACTAAATGTTAGTATTTAGCATATGAAATGAAGAAATGAAGAAGTAATGACGTATGGCGTGTACAAACTAGGGCTGTGTATTGAGCCAAAAATTTCGATACGATACGATACAATATTTTTTAAAGCGATACGCGATATATTGGATTCTAAAGCAAGTCCATCAGAAAAGGCTTCTAATTCATTTTAATACATGAATTTCATAACAATTAAATGTTTTATTACCCATTTTAAAGTTCTTGTCTCATTGTCCTGACAAATAACAATTTAAATTAAAACTTTTAATGACAGCAAAATCAACATAGTCAAATAAAATTCTCTTTGTATTTTGTAATAATTATAAAAACTGAGTTATTTCCTTACAAATTATATAATTATTGAACAGTTTTAATTCAAAAAAGTGAAATATAATCTTTGGTGATTGAAATTCCCATTTTTTAAACAGAATTAAAAGAAAAACTGTCTGTCCGATACGTATTGGAAGTTAATTTTCGATACGATATTATTCTTGAATATCGATACGTATCGATATATCGATATATTGATACAGCCCTAGTACAAACTATCATTGCAATGTGGGAACTTCGTATACACATTTTAAAGATCGAATAAGCAGTACTCAAATCTTTATGCATATTGGCTTTTTTTAACTGATTTGATCAGTTTCAGTACATATATACATATATTACACTTAATAGTTCTGCAAATCCGGGGAGGGGGTTAAACCCCTAATCTGAGCATCATCCTTTTTTCCCACAAATTCTTTGAATCAACTAGTTATTCATTGATAGAATGAATCTATATACATGTATTTTGTTGGTTTCTGAAAATCATTTTTCTAATATTTCTCCAAATGAATAAATGTTAAACATATTTTAAGAAGATAAATAATTACCGGGTAAATTATCTGGTTTATGAAAGTAATTTTTATAATATTTCTCCAAATGAATAAATGTTAAACATATTTTAAGAAGATGAATAATTACCGGCTATATCATTTTGTTTCCAAAATGATATTATTTTGGTTTATCATTTTCAAGGAGTGATTGCTTCCTATGCTCCCATGTTGAAGTGTATTAACACTAGTAATGATAATTAAGATACATTTTATAATCTTAAGCTATTTTAAAATCATTTATTTAATTTATAACTCCAATGCATGCTTTTAATAAGGATTTTTTGCCAATATGTAACAAAACAGCACCTCATTTCCCCTATGTGCATTTTTGAAAATATCGGCCGTTGCTTGGGCCTAAAGTAAAAGGAAGAAGGGTTAGGCACTGCATAAAATAAAATGCATTCAGTCGAAGTAAGTAAAATTAAGCATTCCAGTTTTGGTAATTTTATTCGAATCGATTCGTTCACTATTTGAAGAGAAGAAATTAAAGTTAAAGAAATGGTTGGAAATGCTCAGCTAGACTTTTTATTTCTATTTTTCATGAGTAAATTCAACTATATAAAAAAACTTATGATCTGGAATGTAAGTCGTAAATACTTAATGGCTGACATCTCAGTTAAATCAGTCTCATAAAAAATCTCCCCCAAAGTTGGAGTTAGATGCACCAGGTAAAGAGATCTACTGGTAAACACTTTTTGAATTTCCCGCCACCTTAACAGGTGCCCGGTCTACCTTTTGTGCGGACCTGTTATTGTGACGTAATCACCAAGGAGATAGGCAAATATTTCAATATGGATTCCCTCTCTAGAGAAAGTACACTGAAACAATGCATTGATCGTTACATGTTGTGAATAAAACTTGATTGCCTCATTCCCATACAAATACGGTAAGGTAGCAAGATATTTATGAAACTTAAGTCGTCATTTTGTTCAAGACAAGACAAATAATCATTATTTTAATTCTATAAACCCAATATATTTATCTTTGCAAAAATACATGCAAGTGCTCGTCCCACTAAAAGAAAAAAAACGCTCCCAAAATTAACGTGGCATTTAATGTCTAATAAATTTAGAATACTTGATTTTTTTCTTTACTCTTCTTGAATCAAATAAATGTAATTGCATGATTTTAAAATATTAGTTATTTAGCTTTAATTTAATTTAGCAGAGACCTATACAGGTCTAGCACAATACCCTGATAAAGGTACATAGATTGATGAAGCTATATAGCTTTATCAAGCTATATACCTTTATCAGAGTATTGTGCTGGACCTGCTATATACTGGGTACCTGTAAAGTGCGAAACGAAATAGAAACGAAACGAAACGAAACGAACTGAAACGAAACGAAATCTGCCGAAACGAAATGAAATCTAACGAAACGAAACCTACCGAAACGAAACGAAACGAAATCAAAACGAAACCTTCCGAAACGAAACAAAACTTTCAGAATGTTTTTCAAATCAAGCTATATACATGTAGTTACATGCTGTATATATAATGTGTAACTGCACATGGTCTATTTTTACGTCATATGAAATTTATATAGTTCAAGCACCATAGGCAATTGTTTCGCTTCAAGCTCATACATAGGCGTCGGAAGGAAATTGAAAGTGTGAGGGAGTTGCTTTACCAAAAAAAAGGTCAACCCCAATTTTCAATGCCTAAATAATAAACATCTTTGCAAAAAAAAAGTTGGGGACCCCCCCCGCTTCCGACGCCTTTGTTATATTTTGTCAATATCTTACTGACTAATTTACCTACTTAAAAATGACTTCGTTCGCTTCGAGAGACTTTTTTCTTGTCTGTTAAATCGTTTTAGACTTCTCTGGTCGAGCCTCTTTATTGCAAACCACTCATTTCTTTCTGGAAAATTACCCGATAAAAATATGACTGTATGTATGTAGAAAGGATACAAAAGATTTCGGTTGGAGTTACTTGTATAACTGAACTATAAAACCAGACACCTCGAAATGGGATACTAAATACTCAAAGTTTCTGGTTTATCCTAGGTTTTAAGACATTCGCAATACAACAGTACAGTGACTTTATTTCGACCCGTTCATAAACGAGCCTTTACATGTAAAGTAATTTTAATTTTTATATACATGTACCTTGATTTGAAGAAAAAACATTTTGATAGTTAATGTTTCGTTTAGTTTCGGCAGGTTTCGTTTTGATTTCGTTTCGTTTCGTCTTGATTTCGTTTCGTTTCGGTAGGTTTCGTTTCGTTTCGGTAGATTTCGTTTCGTTTCGGCAGATTTCGTTTCGTTTCGTTTCTATTTCGTTTCGCACTTTACAGGTACCCCTATATACTTAGTATATAGGTCTCTGGCTTTAGTTTATGTATATAGGTATTTAGGATCTGTTTAATTCCTTTATTTTTACATAGAAATAAACAACACATGAATGTCCTGATAACAGCTATTTGGTTTGTTCATTGATAACATATTAAAACATTTTTAAGATAGTAATATACATAGACACTGCGCATTAAGACATATCATTTACCATAAAATTAAATAATATTACTGTATATACTGTACTGTATTGTATATAGGCAAGATGCCAGGAAGACGAGAATCAAAAGGTTCTCCCCGCTCAAGAGAGGGAAGCCTAGCCTTCAGTAAACAGAACACTGACATGGTCAGTTATGAGGATCTCTTGATCGCACAGTATCTGGACGAACTCAGAAAAACCAAGAACAGCATGAAGAAAAGGAGAGAGTAAGTGTAATATATGCAATTCATGTATCAGCTAGGTGCAATACAACATAGAACTGATTTTTTTGATCCAGTGCAAGGGCATGAATTACTGGTAGGTCTTAAAAGTTACTGCCTGTATAAACGGGTTTAGGCTATAAATTCATTCTTTATACTCTGACCTATCTATTATTATCATGGCAATATTTTTATTATCTATAATACCTAAACATGAATTGTATGATTGTATGCTTTGTTACAGAGTACCAGCCTCACCCTACTCCCAGAAGCTCCCTCATTCTGATTTTGGTATGTCCAATCGGAGACCAATCTCTGCCACTGTCCCGGGATGCCCCAGCTCAGGGAGACCAAGTTCTGGTGCCAGGAAACCAAAGATTGATTCCAAATTTATTGCTGACCCAAATCTTTGGGACCCTGCAACTCCAAGATCAGAAAGTACCACCTCTACATCACAGCCAAGGAAAGGGAGACCAGCCTCAGCTCCTGTGCGGAGAAAAACGTAGGACAATTTTATTGCTCATTTAGTTTGTGCATAAAATGAAATGCATGAAAGTAAGTAACAACTCAGTTGACTTCTCTTTTTTGCCTTCAGAAATCGCCCATTTTCAGCTACATCTAACCTGTCTTGGTTCTACAGAAATAATACAAGAGGATGGTCAGCCAGATCTACCCCTTACTCAGGTAAATAAAATCTGACAAAATAAAAAGGATCTAGCTTTTTTCTCATTTATATTTTGTTTTTATTTGTTCCACATGTCTTGATATAAATTATGGTGTTTTGTTCTCAAATATGCTTTTGATAGAAACTCTAAACCAACTATTATACATGACTGCCAATTGTTTTTGAGAACTTGTCCACATCTATGAGCTGCTAATGAATCTTGTGCATATTTATCATCTAACAAAATATAAATTATTAATATAAAAGTTGGTTTACACTGTGTAATTTAATATTGGAGTACGTTTAATGTGATAGTTGGTTTGTTTTGATATATTGATGCATGCTATGTTTTGTTTTATTATTAGTTCCATTAGTGGGATTTATTACCTTGTCTTAGCAAGTTTAGATGATAGAAGCATTCACTAGTTAAATGTATTGGCAGATTTACAGGATGTGGAGTATTTATTTTACAGCATGCTCAGATTGTGTTGGATATGTTGACATGACAAGAAGTGGTATTATTTTTATGCTTCTGTGTTGACCTGATTTCTACCCACAGCCCTGATTTGAGTGACATCACTTAATTTTGTCACTATAGCACTTGTATCATCATCATATGCCCTAACCTTTACTTGCACAGGCAGATTCTTTTCCCACAGAACTAATTTTCAAATATTCTAGGAACTGGGAACAAAATTCACATTAAAAAAATGACTATTTATTGTAACTTTCCATTGAATTAATGAATTTAGAAAGATTTTATCTGTCAATTTTTTTTCATTGTGTAAAATAAGAACTATTTGAAGAAAAATGCCAATTTATCTGGTTTTTATTCGTTCTATCTTTATTTATTTCTCATCAAGTCCAATAATACAATGTTTGTATCTTATTCTATTATGATTTGTATCCCTCCCCTTTCCTCCCAACAACTTAGCACATATCAAAGGTTTGCTTTCCTGCATCAAGTTAACTTCCATGTGTGTTGAGTTTGAAATCTAACATTGATGTTTACAGGTTCTTATTGGTTCAAAATATCAATTGATGGTGATGGTTAACTCTGTTCATTTTGCTTGACCAATCAAGAAAGCTGCTTTTATATTATTACAAATTTATTAGCCATGAAAATGGAGAAAAACTAAAGTTTTGAAATTGATAATGTCTAATGGTTTGATACACATTTAAATCCTTCCACTACTTTATTATTGAGCAGTAATCATGGAAAATGCAAGTTCATAATTCCTCGATTAATTTTTAGTCTCAGTCTCTTTTATGAAGCACTTTTTGCTATTTTCCCCATAATTAACAATGTGTTTATACTTTCACTTAAATTTGAACAGCTTTTACTGGAAGAAGAATTAAGTCCCAGTATTTGAACAAACCCTACACAATCAGATGTCTAGCCTTCAAGAATGGCAGCCGTGAAAACATGTGTCGAGTAGCCGCCCCATCAATGAAAGTGGTAGGAAACACTGTTTATCTAGAAATGTACTTTAAAATATTGACTTATTTATCTTATAAATTTTGGATCCATTTGTTAATATATTTTAGTATGTTCTCTTGGCTCTATTCATAATTTTATCTTTAAGTTTCTGGAGATGTGCACTGAGAGATTAGGTCTGGGGTTCGCCGCCAGACGAGTGTTTTTGGACAATGGAAAGGAAATTTTTGAAGCCTACGAAATTCCTCCAGATTCAGAAGTGTACATTTCAACTGGAGATAATTTTAAGGACCCATACAAAAGTGTAAAGCGTAAGTGTAACTTTGTAACAGAGTTTATTTTTGAGGAGTTTTTAATGATAAGGGTGTTTTGGATGGTATCTCTGACTTCAGCCAGAGTCAGGAGTAATGCACACACAACGACTTACTTCTGAAATTGTTATACCTTTCATTTCTGTTCAGAAGACAAAACCCCAATATCTTGAATGTGAATCTTAAGTAAACAACAAAAGATACCATTATTAATTAGAAATTGAATTCAATCAAGTTTTATTTTTGAGTTGCATCTTTTTGTTAATTAACACATATTTAGTTTTCCAGTCACACAATGTATTTGATCCTATTTTAGAAAACATAGCTATAACTAACGGGGCTAAGTGGACATTGTCTGGAGTGCTTCTACCAGAGGAGGGCAGAAAGAAGAAGACCAAATGTAGAGTGTCTAAAAGAATGAGGTAGGTTACCAATCTGACAACATTTAAAGGTCCCATTGAATATAAAGGATTCAAGGGAAGCAACTCTCACATTATGGTTGAGAAGTCATATGGTGCTTGATATTTCACTCTCTATTATTTGTTTCTTTTAACCAGGGGCCTTCTGGAGAGTAACAGATACAGGATCGTCGTGTACAGGAATGGCTACGCCACAGAACCAATGGAGATCGTGGCTGATATGAGCAACAAAGAGGAGGTAAACATAAATAAATAATGTTTGTCAAATTCATTCCAATATCAATGTTTTAACCTGGTTTAAGCATTAAAATGTTGACACTCTTTTTCCTTCTGACAGTTCTTGATAGCTTGTACTGCCAAGCTAGGACTAACAACTCATGCCAAAGTCCTGTATGACTGGGAAGGAAATGAAATCAAAGATTTGAAGGATGGTAAGATTCTGTGCTTTATTCTTTAGACTCGCATCTCTTCTCATAATTCTGTGGATATTTTGTATTAAATTCAAGTACAAGTACATGTATTTTATTTGATTGATATAAATCATCAAAAATATATATATACTCAGTATATATCTTTTTAAAAACTGTCCATGATTAAATGTTTGATAATGGTATAATACCGAGGAATTATCCACAGTGGTATTAACTTTTAATGAAATCATAATTGTTTTTAGCTCCGTTGTTACATGAAGCAGTACAGGAAGGGAATTCCCCTATTTATGGTCCCCTGTGGGTGTCTATTGGAGAGGCCTTTAGCCCCACAGGTACTGTTCACTTTATCAAGTACCTGAAACGTACCATTAGGGGACAGCTGAAAGAGGCAGTAAAGTACAAAAAAGAGGTAAGCTTAAAAAGTAAAACTGCAAAAAGCAAGCCACCTCTCTCTCTCTCTCTCTCTCTCTCCCTCTCTCTCTCTCTCTCTCTCTCTCTCTCAAAATGTTTTATTTGTTGTGTTAATGAAAAGAATTAGTGGTCATCAGCAGTATTATTTTTATCATCACAGGTGAATTATGCATTAGGGGATGAGAAAGATAAAGTGACTATTACTGACATTCTGAGCATGCCTGAGGATGAGCTGTACACCACACTAGAGTTGGTATGTTACATGTCTAGGATTTTTCAGTCAACAAAAAACTGCATAGTTAACTAAACAATGGAGACCTATTTAATAATATTTGGAAAAAATTTTAATAAATATATTCTCAAAAATTCATTTTTAGGCAGAGCAGGAAGTGGAGAATCTGACAGAAAGTTTGCGGGACATTGAGGACAAACTCCAGAAAATCATGGAACTTCAGCAGGTAGAGGAGGTAAGTTAAGGGGACCTCAGATAAGAAAGATGAAATTTACCTACTTGATGCAAAAGCAAAGGAAGCGAAAATAAACAGGGACAAAAAGGTTTCCAACACACAGTAATATTATTGCATGACTAATGTCTTATTCACTTGTATTGTTCTGTAGAGTGAAGGATCCCACTACAGAATGAAGCATATCAAGGAATGGGAGTTTGAGCACCGCCTGGTGGGAAGAAAAGGCCTTAGACTCAAGGTAAGCAGAGCTCATAGGACTCTAGATATCATACTGATTTTTTTTATTTGTTGGAAATCTTTTTCCAAACATCAGCTAAATCATACATTGTGTCATTACAGGTGTATGAGAATGGGAGTTATGAGAATGACCAGGTGTTCTACTTTAATCTCGCTGGTGCATTACGAGGCACAAACGACAAAGGAAAGATCCTCACAAGGGTAAGGGCAGCTATAGACATGGATTCAGCAAAAGTATCAAGCACATGTTAAATTGAAATTGAAATTCAGTTGTGGAAAGTTGTGTTATTTTTAATGTTAAGATTATTTACTGAATTTCTCTTGCAGCTGTTTGACGATCTGTCGACTAACCATGTGACTGCCAATCCACACAATCCTAAAATTGCTCCCGTGGTCAAGAAAATCTTTGACCAGTATGGGAAAGAGATCACTAATGTCTACGACCTTGAGTACGATCAGGAGATCTGGGTGTCTTTTGGAGAACCATTTATCAACCCATTCAGTGAGTATCAAAATGTCATGTAATATTGGCATTTCTTCCTAGTATTTCTGTAGATTTAGATAGACTACCAGGTAAATATCGTGGACTTAATAAAAGCAGAAAGCCTGGGATTTAAAGATTATTGTAATGTCTTTAAAGCAAACAGTCAAGTACTAGTACATGTACTTTAAAGTATGGAAATTTAATAAGTTTAGGAAATGGCTGAGTAAAACATTGATTACTTTCAGCATACTGCATCCAGGCCATGTTTGAGAAGGCTACAGCTTACATGATGGAAGGTGAGACGTTCATCATCAGGGAACCACTGAACATGGAACTTACCAAGAACCGAGAAACGTTAGTGTAGTCTTATCTCACTTCCTTTATTTAAAGAATCAGAGAATACAGTCCAAGTGATAATTGATATTTCTATCAGAATATGGATTATGAATTGTTAGATCTTTATGCTTAGGGTTTATTTACAGACGTACTGCGATTATTAATTATGAATTGTTAGATCTTTATGCTGAGGGTTTATTTACAGACGTACTGCGATTATTAATTATGAATTGTTAGATCTTTACGCTGAGGGTTTATTTACAGACATACTGCGAGTATTAATTATGAATGGTTAAATCTTTATGCTGAGGGTTTATTTACAGGCACACTGCCTGGGAGGCCACTGTGGGGTACCCAGCCTACGATTACGAGCAGGCCTCCTCCCCGGAATCCCAGTCACATGTTCAGGACTTGGCTCGTATGGCTCGCATTGATGCCAGGAGCACATTCCTACAAGCCAAGGTAGGAAATTATTAACTCTTATTTAAAACACCAACTTCCAAGTCATGCTTATATAAGTATTTTATTTTTATCTCAAATCCTCACATATTTTGAAGTTTTTCTCTGTTCCATTAAGTTTGAGATAACAAAGTTTAAATGAGTATTAGTTATAACTGATTCCACCAATCCTCCAACTTAAAACAAAGTACATACTAAGGTCTAAGTACCTTATTTTCTATGATCAAATGATATTTTGAAATGATTTCTGTATCTTGCACCTTATCTGAGTCCTGGAGATTGTTGATTTAGTTACATGTGGCCAAGATTTAGAGCATTGTATTGTTTTTGTTTTTCAGAATAATGAAAAAATTGTTCTGTACCCAGAAGTGAACTGTTTCAAAAAAGTGAAGAAAGGAGGTCAAACCAAACTTTGGCCTCAGGAGGCTCAAGTCTGGACCATTCAGAAGGTAAGTTCTCGTCGCCTTAACTAAAGTGTTTCTTTCTTGATATATGTAAAATAACTACACTTATGATAAGAGAAAATACTTATGACAGAGTATTAAAATAATTACTATACATGATGCCAAAATAATGTCACAGTATGGTGACTCTTCAGTTTTTCTTTGGTTTTCACTTACTGAAATCCTTTTACTCTTCTGTTTGTCCAGAATGGCTACATCAGGTGTAAGTCTGTACCCCAGCTTTGTCTTGGAGTATCAGACACTAGGGTAGATTTGACCTTGGGTAATGACACAGTGTCTGGGTTTGTTGTAAACATTCAGAAGAAAGCTTCAGGCAACACCTACCAACAGTGGCAGTTTAATCCAGATGCCACTATCACATGCCTGGTAAGAAATATCATTACTAGTCAATTTCTCTTCTGCTTAACTTTTATAATAACATGTTTTGCTCAAATTTTGCAATTTTGTATAGCTTTTACTGAAATCTTGTGTCAAATTAAATCCATAAGTTTTAAACTCATGCAATTCTATCACCTCTAACTTATTCCACTACATTTTCAGGCTCACCCTAACCTAGTTCTGACTTACAATGGGAATCACCTTGGGGACGAGGAAAATCAGCAGCCGGAGGGGATCTTACCGGGACAGTCGGTGTATCTGGTCGTCACCGAGAGAAGACAGAAGAAGGAGGCATCTAATCAGAGGTCAGTTGCGTTTCATGCTATTACTTGTTAACTACGAAAGAAGAACTTCATAATCTGATATTGTTCAGTTTTTAGCTCACCTGAGCCGAAGGCTCAAGTGAGCTTTTCTGATCAAAAATTTGTCCGTTGTCTGTCGTCGTTGTTGTTGTCGTCGTCGTTGTCGTTAACTTTTCACATTTTCATCTTCTTCTCAAGAACCACTGGGCCAATTTCAACCAAACTTGCTACAAAGTATCCTTGGGTAAAGGAGATTCAAGTTTGTTCAAATGAAGGGCCACGCCCTTTTCCAAGGGGAGATAATTATGAATTAGAGAAAAATTAATGGCATTTTTAAAAAATCTTCTTCTCAAGAACCACTGGGCCAGGAAACATGAGACTCATGTGCAATCATCCTCAGGTAGTGCAGATTCAAATTTGTTCAAATCATGACCCCCGGGGCTAGGGTGGGGCCAAAATGGCTGACCCAAGTTTTACATAGGAATATATAGGAAAAATCTTTAAAAATCTTCTTCTCAAGAACCACTTGGCCAGGAAAGATGAATCTCATGTGGAATCATCCTCAGGTAGTGCAGAATCAAGTTTGTTCAAATCATGACCCCCGGGGCTAGGGTGGGGCCAAAATGGCTGACCCAAGTTTTACATAGAAATATATAGGAAAAATCTTTAAAAATCTTCTTCTCAAGAACCACTTGGCCAGGAAAGATGGAACTCATGTGGTAAAATCTTTAAAATCTTCTTCTCAAGAACCAGGTAGATGAATCTCATGTGGAAATCAGGTAGTGCAGTTCAAATTGTTCAAATAATGACCCCCGGGGCTAGGGTGGGGCCAAAATGGCTGATCAAAGTTTTACATAGGAATATATAGGAAAAATCTTTAAAAATCTTCTTCTCAAGAACCACTGGGCCAGGAAAGATGAAACTCATTTAGAATTATCCTCAGGTAATGTAGATTGAAGTTTGTTCAAATCATGACCCCTGGGGCTAGGGTGGGGCCAAAATGGCCGATCAAAGTTTTACATAGGAATATACAGGAAAAATGTTTAAAGATCTTCTCAAGAACCACTGGGCCAGGAAAGATGAAACTCTTTTGGAATCATCCTCAGGTAGTGTAGATTCACGTTTGTTCAAATCATGACCCCCTGGGGGGTTAAAATTCAAGCCCCCCAGTTAACTTTTAGTTCTGATCTGATATGTGCTTATTCCTAGCCGATGTACTCAGGTGAACGCTGTGGACCCTGGGCCTCTTGTTTGAGAGTTGCCCAGTGGTGCAGTGGGAAGAGAGATTGCTCTAGATTTGTGGAGTAAGGAGTAGATCTTTACATCATAGGTTCAAATCCACTGAGTAAAGCGGAGACTTTCCCTATAGAAGAGATCATATTAAATGCGGTTCAATATTTGTGTTGAATACACGTTTCAGCTGTTTTTCTTTTAATTGTTGTTCAACAGAAAGTTTTGTTTTTTGATCAGATTTGCCCTGAAGCAGGAGAGATTTGATAACCTGGGACAGTGGAAGTACAATGACGCCACAAACATGGAGTGGAACAAGAAAGCTCTGTCCTGGCCAGTAAAGGAGGATGGAAATCTGAACGAGGTCAACTATATCTGCTGTATTTGAAATATTTTTGTTGATAACCATATTTTACACATCTCTAATGAACCTTCAAACTTTCTGATTTTTTCTTTTTCAAAAAAAATTTTCACATCATTTATATATATAAGTAACGAAAATGTTATTGGCCTTTCAGGACTATGACTGGCCAATGGAGGGATATCTTCTACCAAAAGCTCCTCCCCTACACAAGCCACTGTCCAAACTCGGAATCTCTGGTAGTAAGTATACTGTACTGTATGAATGTGTGTACAAGGGGTGAATATAACTTGTGTTCTAAGTTTGCAATATTGCAGAGTCCATAAATGAATTTTTAATTTTAAAAAATGGTCAAACATTTCAAAGATTAATATAAAAGTAAAAATTGAACATTTTTATTTACAGTGGCTCCTTTAAGACTCATGACAATGAAGAATGGAGAGAGAGACACCAGACTAGCTATGCCTGTGGTTGGCCCAAATCTGACAAATGTAAATATCTAAATTTATTGATAAAGAAAAAAATAATTTCATATCCACCCAAAAGTCAAAATGTTATCAATTTACTTTGCTGTATACCAACATGGTGATGTCAATAAATAGACAAAATGAATTTGAATTTACCAGAAGATGAATAGATTTTTTTATAAAATAAGGTTTAAAGAATTTTTTCTGATGATTAGATGTTGAAGGACTTGAACAAGGAGAAAGGAGGTAAATCTGGTAAGAAGGCCCAGCACTCAAAGCTTGTGGAGAAGGACGTCGCTGTACCCGAAACAGACAACGTGGAGGAAGACATCAACCTTCACTGTGTGGACAGAACCGTCAGGGAACTGGAATTCATCATGGTACGGAGAGCATACCAAAATTATATGTGTCTTTCTGTTTCTCAAAACACCATGTTCTTTTCTTTACAAAAGTGATTTATTTTTCAGTTTTTGGACAACTGTACGAGCCTGCTTAACTTGCCGTTTGCTGCCAGACGACTTTTTGACAGTAAGGGAAACGAGCACTTCAGTCTAGTCAACCTGAGGAGGGACGACCTAGTTTATGTGTCCTGTGGGGAGGGGTGGATGGACCCCAAACTGTCCAAAGATCAGCAACAGAGGCGCATTCTGTTGTCACAACTCTCTCAAGATATTGCCAAAATCAGACAGTACATTTCACTCCGCAATCCAGAGAGTGAGTTCTAATTATTTTATTTGGCCATATAAGGCTTATGAACATAATAAAGAGACCCATTAATCTCTTTTAATTTTAACAAAACTAAACTGTCTTTTTTTTTCAACTTTTGAGCTAATCCTTATTTATGGTAATTAAGTCTCTGTTTTCACTATCCACAAAGAGTATATAACATTAATTTTTTATTCATCAATAAAAAACTGAACTGTTTTATCAGAGTATGTACTGGAGATGGAGGGTAACTTGGTGGCCAATACACGGATCATCATTAACCGTCAGTGGAATGTTGAGGAGGAGCAGCCCCTCCCCCGCCGTCCCCCACCCACAGAACGCGACAGTCAGAACCTGCGGGAATCCAGGGCATCCATGTTCGCTGAGGAGGAGGAAGAAAACATGTAAGCTTCTGGATTTAGGTTTGAATGTATAAATAGAATATAACATTTACAGAACCTTAGTAAATTTGCCATACACATGAATCAATAACAACCAAAATAAAACACATAAAGTTGGAACTTTGGTATTTCAAACACTGATATCTTAAATGCTCTGGATATGTCAAAGTGATTTGGAAGCTCTAACACCTACTGCAAGTATTTTACCATGGATAACTTGAATCGTTGGATATGTCAAAGTTTTTTTTTCTCAGTTCCTTTGAGTTCAAGATAACCAGATTTGCCTGTACATATGAATTTTGAGTGATTTGTATTTATATTTAGGACCTGTCATGAGATTGCCCACAGAAGATCTGAACAGAGGTTGAACAACTTAAAATGGCCGTGGGAGAGACTTATCAACGTCAGTCAGGATGAGGGATCAGAGGATCCAGACGCCTATAAGTTCACAGACAAGGAGATGTATGACAAATACAAGTAAGTCTACTAAATCCCAGAATTCTTTTTTATCCTCCAGTCATTACCCATGGTCAACATACACATCTGATTCCCTTGTCCTGCACCACCTAGGTTTCTAGGTAAAAGATGATTCAGCTGCCGTTTTATTTATCTGGGACCCCATTTTCCATAGTTGTCTTCGAATGTCTTCATAATTATCATCTAAATAATCTATATTTATTGCAGGGATAAATCAGGAAGGTAATTTATTAGCTGATAAAGACTTTAATGATTAACATTAGTATTTATAGTTTGCCGTAATCTATTTCAGAATTAACAAAGATAGTCGTATATATGTTTAACATTTGCAAAAGCATAAACTATGACCTAATTGTATTTATGTGGGTTTAGTGAAGTTTGTAACTAGTGATGTAAATTATTTGATTGTTGAGTTTAACAAAAACGTGTGTTCATGTACATTTATATCAGTGTGATATTGTACAGTCTCTACCTTTGAAAACTTTATATTTGACTTTTTTTTGTGAAAGTGGACAATCCAAATTTGTCAAGTACCAAATGCATTAATTCTTACCTTATAGGAAATAATTATACAAAAATCTCTTTATAAAATATTTATTAATATTTTTCAGGCCCCAGCCCATCCCTAAGATATCTCGAGACACCCTTCAGAGATTTGTGTATGAGGATGGGTACATCGCCTGTGCAGCTAACCGAACTCTAGTGCTGGGTGTATTAGAACAGGAGGGGCGAGTTAACCCAGTCTTACTGGTAAAACGAAGACCAGATGACATCAATCAGAGATGGGTCATCAGAGAGAATGGGTGAGTTTGTCTGATTATTCTTTTTGTCAATGAAATAAGATTTTAACTTCAGTAACTGCCAGTAAGATATATGGTATTACATGGAATGAAATAATGTACAAGCTATGAAAAGAAACAGGGTTAAATGTCGGATTTGAAAGAATTTTAGACAATGATTACTATCTTATCACAGGGAAATACGCTCCAAGCACAGCTCACAAATGGTCCTAACTGTTGCCATGCCAGCAAATGAACCTTTCTCTGAGGATGAGGAAGGTCGACCTTTGACCTTCAGTGGCTGCGCCGTGACCTTGCAGGCCAGGAAGCTAAATATATATGGCAAGGCACATCAGAAATGGAGATATGACGCAGAGACTGGATACATACACGCTTTCTTTACCAATCCTTATGATAAAGGTACAGTTGTTTATGGATAAGGAATAATAGTCAATAATGAATGTCTTATCATCGAGAATACTCGTTGGTAAGCCATTTTTCAGAGAAAAATAAGGGCCATTCACAGAAATGGAAAAATAGTTCTTCTTTACATATGATTTGATATGTATTCCTATTGACTTTATCTTGCATGTATCTTCATTATTGAATTTGAAAAATTCAAAAGTCATTCATTTTGTTGCAGAGATAACTGCCGCCAACCATGCTGACATTTGTACTTATGCTATTTCACATGACAGCAAAATTGATCAACCAGTAAGTGTGATTGCTTTTAATAAATTTATGTCTTGGCTGAATTTTCAGTATATTTATTTTCATCGAGTTTCAGGCTTCCATGTTTTATATCTTCTCTAATTTCTTAGGGCTACCTAGCAGAAGTTCCAGTTCAGTCCACTTCTGACAGAGTCTCTGTAAAGAATATGACAGTCTGTACTTCCTGTGCCCGCGCCATGAGGGGGCGCTACAAGCTGCAGAAATTACCAGAGAGAACAGAATTTTCTTGTGCAATGGGAGAAGGTAATATTAGAGAAATTCTTTTTTTTTTATTTAAGCATATAGTTGTTTGACAAAAAAAAGGTAGTCATGCACTGAGCTAGAAATCCAACAATTTCGTTTTCTTTGAGAATTAGTTTTCTAAAAGATACAAAATATTTAAATAAAAAATTTAACTACAAATATAAAAAGAAACCTTTTTACAGTAATTTATGGTTTGTATCTGATTGTTAAGTTTTACTTTCAACAGCAAAGAAGCTTAAACTACAGCAAATAGGAAGCTTCCGCGTTTTGAATGGAAAGGTTGACTTGTCAACACACGAGGCTGATCTCACCTTGGAGACGTGGGAAGATACCCTCGGAAAACTGAGAGAGGAAGCCAGTGTCAAGACCATCGCGAAGGAAATTAACGCTGCCAAGACGGTCAAAACCATCAAAATCCTGGCCTACAAGAATGGAGAGGGACGCATGCACCAAGGGGAGCTTATCTGTGGTTCCAGTATAGAAGGGGTAAGAACAAAACGGGCATTCCTTGCAGGAAAGGTTTATTCTAGATATATACTAGTAATTATAATTGTGAAGATTATCAACAACTTATGAATTGCACTAAGCCTTTTGGTGGAATCATGGAAGTCACACATATTTTTATTGTTGTCAGAATGAATTTCATTTTCTGACATTAATATCCCTTGTAGATTCTGAACCAGTGTACACACAAGCTAGGCCTGGCCTCGGCAGCCAGGAAGATCTTTACGGAGGACGGGACTCTGGTGCTGGAGATAGACGACCTGATTGACTGGGCCGTGGAGAACTACAAGTCACTGATGGTGGATCAACTGGAGAGAATCCTACACGGAAAGGAGGAGTCCAACGTGGAAGGTAGTATCTACCTCATTCACAGTCTGTCATTAGCATCTGTCAATAGAATTAATGATGTATTTATATCATCCACAGTCTGTCATTAAAGCTATTGATGAAGAGTAAGACTTATCTGGTGATACAAAATCTTACTGTTACAGACGAGGAGGAAGGAGATACCAAGCAGCCCAGTCAACAGAGCAATGGGGCCCCAGGGGGAGGGGAAGCTGAGCAGCGGGGTGAAGGAGAGGGACAGGACAGTACAGCCGAGGGGGCAGGAGGAGACAATGCTGGTTAGTGACATTTATATTATACTTAACACAAGGTTACAATATATAATACAAGGTTACATGATATGTAACACAAGGACACATTACACTAAACACAAGGTTACAATATATATTATTATACTTTCATGTTAAATACTAAAATCTGATTGGTTTAGACGCAGTTAAAAATCCGTTCTATTACCCTCAGCCTTAGCAACACACATGACAACGGGTAACACAACGGTAAAGTCACATGCGTGGAAATTATGCGTGTATGGTTCACCGTAGAATTCTCAAATCGTCATTTGTGCATTTGAAAGAACCGGAATAAACTTGACGTCAATAAAAGCTTGCCTCCGATGTAGCTTACTTGAAAACAACAAACGACAGACGAAACATGCTTGCGAGTGCAGAAATAATGAAACTTTAGATGATAAAGGACTCTTAGAGTATCAAATAAACAATAAAGAGGTCAGTAAATCTTTTTCGAAGTAGCGTGGAGTTTGAAAGCTTTCTAAACATGAACGTAAAGACGATGACGAGACATCCTAAATCAAAAAGACATTCAGTATAATAAAATAAATCAGCTGTGTCTTTGGAAGGGTAACAGTGGAAAAGCATATCCTAAGGCAAAAAATTGTCAACCTCCGCTGACGCGTGGGTTGACAATGGTTTTCCTTGGGGTGTCAATTTCAACTGTTACCCTCCAAAACAGGCACCATTTATATAATACAAGGTTACATGATATGTAATACAAGGTCACATAATACTTAATACATGGTTACAAGGTCACATGATGTCATTTATGAAAGAAATTTCTCTCTGTTAAAACTTTGTTTGTTCTCATATTAAATTCTCTATCAAAGATTTTAATTTTTAAATTTTGTGTCTTGATTTTGAATAATGACTAGGTAATTTGTCAATTACATGTATTTTATTTATAAAAGAAGTGGATCAGCAAGAGCAGACCAAGGTTCAGGGGGAGAGAGATCAGCTTCTGAGTCAGGTTCAAATCCCTCCTGTTGACGTTATCCTCAGATATCCAATCGAGGTCTGGGTTTCTTCAGGCCAGGAGTTCTTCCCCCCTGAAAAGGTGGAGACTAAAATGGAGAATCGTAAGAAGAGACGTGCTTTCCGATCAGCTGTGTCTCTGGAGCTAGATATGGAAAAGCACATCCTAAGGCAAATGAAAGGTATTTTCTTCCTTAATACATGTACATCCTTTGAACTTTCATATTTAATAGACAATGCATAAAGAAGGCATTTGAAAATACAGACATTTTATAATTAGTGTGACTGATAGATAAATACAAAAAAATTACAAATTCAAGACAAAATCTTTAAAAATCTTTTGATGCAAAATTTTGCATGAACTATATGTAGTACTACACAGGAACTAGATATTAAATGAAAGAGAGATTTTGTTTTTGAAGTTCACAAACAGGAATTTGTAACCTTAATGTATTCCTAATTTCAGGACGTAGAATAGAGTCCCAGAATCCTGGGGAGTATAAGCCTACTCGCAGTAGTCGGCAGCCCGTCATTGTGGAGAACAACTGGCAGGAACCCACCGTAGCGGAGGAACTGAAGCACGACACAATACACAAACTGGAGACTCACCTGGCAGAGGTCAAGGCCGTCCAGAAAGAGAAGATCCGCACAGTCAATGTCAACACAAACAGACGCCTGTACCAACAACCAGACATGGTAAAGAACTTTCTCCCATTGCTGCCATCTCATCAATCCAAAACAGTTTCTTTTTTCTGCCTCATGCTTTGCAAATATTTAATACATTTAAGTGGTTGTAATGGCAAAGTGTTAAATTGGTACCATTGATTTAATCCTTGAAGTGATAAATAAATGTTCACATATTTTTTATGAAAAACATTTATTGCAAAGGGAGAATTCATAACATTAGGTTTTATATTTACATTTAAGTGGTTAACCATATAGTTATTCATTATTTTTTATATACACCTTTATGTGACTAAATCTCTGTGTGATGTCTAGAATTGCTCAATGATCCTTTAATTAATATTCATTGACTTGTCCTTTAGAAACGAGTGATGGTGTTCCCTAATGGGGAGAGTGTAGAGAGAGCAGTTTATGTGTGGGGAGAGACACTAGAGGAAATTCTGGACAATGCCACCATTAAACTGTCACTATGGGGACAAGCCAGGATTATATACAATATGGAGGGCAAGAAGGTACAGAGATCCTTAAATTTCGTCTTATATTAGATATATCTTTTAAAATACAAATAATTATTGGCTTTCTGGTATTAAAGTTTTACTCCAGTGAAATTCCATTCAATTATAAATCTATTTTTTTTATTTGTGCGTATGAAGGTGGAGAAATTCGATGAAATCAACAAGGATGAATTGCTTTGTGTTTCTATGGGGAAATCCTTCAGCAAGCCCAAGAATGCACTCGATGGAATTGAGATTAAGGCAAACTGGGGTCGAGCCCGGAAGCAGTATGGACCTAGTGCTACAGATTTAGTGGTGTCTGCTCCGGTTAACCCCACAGTCAATGTAAGGGCAAAAAAAATATTAGAGATTCAAAATAAGTGGATCAGTTTTGGTGTACAGTGTATAAATTTTGGTTTTATACAACATAAGTTTGGTCTTAATGCCAAAATATGATTTTAAGGATTTGTCTTTTACACAAGATGCAAATAGATTAAACCTTAATTCATAAGTTAACTCAGGTTTGATGGTAGAATTTGAAATTTTTCTAGGTTGATCCATTTGGACCACCAGGACTTGCTCTTCCACCAGCAGAAGACAACAAATCTACCACAACAAACAGACCACAGTCTGCTAAACCACCAGCAACATGAGTTAGCAACACTAGCAACATGAGTTAGCAACACCAGCAATCACATGTGCAACTTCTAGAAAATGCATAAACTTTATAGTGCTTGATAGAAGCTTGTAGAGACCTACCTTTGTTCTGTTTCCCAATGTTAGGACCCTCTGTCATAAGCTTTAAAGGATTGTAGAATATATAATGGTTTCCAATCATCGAATAAGAAGTTCTCAAAGAGCTGAAATTCCGGCATGGACTTGATGTAGAGTTTATGAACAGTGTATGACATGTTCATTTCTGACAACCATGATGTGTTGACAGAACCTTGACCCCATCCATTTGTGCCACTAGTACTTAGGGCAGTTGGTGCCTTAACGTGTCCTTGTTCTTTGTTTTCCAATCCTTAGATTTATCTGCAGCATTTTTTGTACTTAGTATACATGTATGTAGGGGTTGTTGTTTATGTATGACATTGATAAACTACATGTATCTTCATTCAGAGCTTTAAAACCAATTTGTTATGGTTTGTCCAACAAAAAGACATGGAAGGTTGTAAGACCAGAGCACAAGATATATGACAGAAGAAAAAATGAATATCAGGGTACTAATAACGCATATCAACATGTGCTTATTTATGTGATAATTTCAATGCATTTGTTTTATGTGTAAATTTTGTTTTAAGCATTTGTTTTGAAATTAATACATTATTATTTTATAGCATTAATTTATTAATTTTTTTTATGAAAAATTGTCATTTTGTCTGAACATTTCCAAGCATTTTAAAAAGAAAGTAAGACGGTAAAGTTTATATGTACATCTTTAAATTTATAAACAGTATGAATGAGATGATTAGAAGGAATTTTCTTGCATTTGTAATTACATTCAGGAAATGTTCATGCTTCGTTTCAAGAGGGATTTGGATCAAAAAGACATTGGAATGATTTACATAATGATAAATGAAGAAAGATTTTTATGATGCAATTAGTCTCATTGCTTATTTAGTGAATACTCAAGAGTTTAGTGTTGATTTATAAGGAGATCCATTTATAGCTTGACTACACATTGATCTAACTAGCAGGAGAATCTGTCTCTTTTTACACAAGGGTTTCTTGGTTGTGATTTTAGATATTTTCTAATTTTATAACAATTGTTTGTAATAACTACAGTGTACTTTGATTATTGGGACATTTTTTTTGCACTTGTTATCTGCACTTTTTTGCACCATAGCTTTAAAATTATAACAGATAAAAGATATAGGGGCATTTATGAACAACTACAATGGTTTTATAAAAAATATATTTATTATGTATAGATCTGGGTTTTTTTTTTTTAGATATTTATCTTTACTATTGTATTTTTATATCATAAGTATTGTACACTTTTATTGTCCGTCCATTCCAGTTCAGAAATGTTACATAAGAACTGTAAATCTATCAAGTTTCTGCCCGTCCTATAAAATTATTGTATCCCTGTTATAAGCTAGAAATTTTTTTCTGTAACTTTGTGCATTTTAAATTTTTTGGCCCTGAGGGCTAATTTATACATGGATATTGAAAAGGGAAAATAAATAGATAGAGGAATATACTGTGTTGTAAATTTTGATTGAGGTAATGAAATCAGGATGACCTGTCAATCATTATAATTCTATGGAATAAGATATCAAGACAAAGTGGTTCAGTAAGTTAATTTTACTATGCCTTTACTTACATTGTCCTTACAAACACTTTTCGACGAAAGAGATACATATAAATTTTATAAATGGCCAATAGAAAATCTGTTGAAGATGGCAAGTCTACCAGTATATCCGTATAAAATAAATGGACAAGAGATTTGTTGAAATGGGCAGGTATATTTAATTCTCTTCACTAAGTTTATAATACATGTCTTTTTTTCCATACATGTCAATAAAATTTCATAGGAACAATTTTATATGATGAAGTAGTATATATATTTGTTTTAATTTTCACACAGGGTAAACAAAACCATGAAATTTTCCTCAAAACAATAAAATGGTTTTGATTTCCAAGGGTTTGAAACACAGAGGTTAGATTGCATAGACATTATATACGGTTGAGACTTCAAACTCACTTTGACATCCATAGTATTCCAAATATCAAATGTTTACTATACCAACCTTCAACTGCATTAAAGTATTTATCAGATTAAAGCGCTTGCAGCACCTCAAACTAGTACATCTATAATAAATATTTCATATACTGCTTGGTTCAGTGTGTAATGCCTATGAGTAAACTATAATTGGAGGATTATTAAAAAAATGAAAACAAAACAGGATGTAACTTTTAACACAGTTTATTACATGGAAATTTATCTTCATAACATGAGTGTTAAATACAAATAATTTATGATAAAGTGTAAAAATGTTATGTAAATAAAGCAGTAGACAAAGTAAAGAAAATAAAAATGTGTAAACAAAAGAAACCTCAAAACACACAAATACATCTATTTAATAACATGTAAAATTCATAAATAAACTAAAGTTCTTTGGGACTATATGTGCACATATCCTTCTAAATATATTACTGGATATTTGTCATGGAATAACTGAATCATAAGACAAAAAAATAGAACCAATAAATCAAATGACATTGTCTAAGATCAATATCACTGGATGTAGTAAATCAAGGTCTGGCCTTAAAACTCTTATCTTTAATTGGATTTAATACATTAGAAGTACTACAGATGTAAAGAGTTTAGTGATGATACTGAATAGACTGACTGTAATATGAACAAAGCATCAAATAACACCAAAGACATATAGTGAAAAATTGATTAATTCTAGTACTCAGTAAATATTGAAAAATGTGCATATGTATAAAAAAAAACAAACAAACATTGATAATGTATGTAAAGCAGTTCTTGTTGATTTCACGAGACTAAGTAAAATAAAAATGATTGTAGAGGAAGAACAACAAAGGCATGCTGCAGTAATAATATGTTTTCTAAAACAAGTCTATTTGGTCATGTTGAGATTCTATTCAAGGAAAATTATACATTGTTGTATTTTTTCCAGTATCAAATATTTAAAAAATCAATAACCATTGTTATGAACACAAACACATGACATTGTATTTCACAATTAAAATAAATCAATGGGCACTGCAACCAGATAAAAGGATCAGCAGAGCCCATATCTATCACATTCATTTGTTGGTTTTAAATCACACTATTGATTTTTTTTTCCCAAAAGTAAACTTATCTCATTTAAAGATTTAAAAAATACAGTTTCAGCATTTTTTAAAAATCCAACATATACAGAACATGAGACCATCACACTAATTCTATTGAACATAACAAAGCATAAGAAATCACATTTTTGATAGTTAAAAGAAGTTGAAATGTGCAAACACACTGCAAAATCAAATATTTGTTGGTGCATAATACTTGCACAATCTTGAGCATGTTATTAGTGTCACAAGCTATACACCAATCACCTATTCTCCTTAATCAAATATACCCCCCCAAAAAAATAATGTACATGTACATCGAAAACTATCTACGATATGCATGTTTAAGACTTAACCTTAAACTGTACTTTTTGAGCAAGAATTGAATATTGTTTGGTTGTTAATGTCAAATTTCAAAATCATCTTAAGGAGAATACCTAACAGATATAAGCACTCTAAAATTCTAATCATACTGATTGATTGATTATGGAAAACATAGAGTAGATCTGTTTAAAAAAAATTGCACATCACCAAAATTACACCACAAAAAGCCTCAATCCTCCTTCCCCTCAACTTGGACTTTCCTCTGGCGAACCCCCGATTCCTCTTCAGAATCCTTATCCTTTTGTCCATCCAAGAGAATCACTTCCTCTTCCTGTTTGTCCCCCTTTGTAGTTTTACTTTCACTTTGGTCCTCAGCCTCCCTCTGAGTCTTACTTTCACTTTTCTCCTCAGCAGGTGCCTCCTCACTCTCCTCTCCTTTCTGTGAGGACTGATCCTCAGAGTCACTATTTACTTTATCATCTGAATCTACATTTTCCTGTCAAGTGATGAAAAAGTAAAACTGTTTTTAAGACACTAAGAAAATGTCTCAGCTTCCAATTCATGCAAAGTTCAATGGTAGAAGCAACAAGTTTAATATGTTTAAAGTGGACTGCAATATAAAACAAGCAAATTCAAAGAATTGTAGTCACCCACTTTTGGTGTCTTTGTGGGTAAGATGTCATTTTTTATCATGTATTGTGTCAAATATGAATGCCCTATCATATGTCATTCAGATGTTATCATCAAAGTTGATTTTTTTTTTATTAGGTCAATCATGAAGGTTAAGGGGTCAGAAATCATGGCATGCTCAAAAATATATTGTCACAAGTAATGCACATGTCAAAAAATATAATAGTCCTATCTCTTCTCAATCAAAAGTTTTAAGGAAAAATTAGCATTTTTGAAAAGTAGGTCAAACTTCAAGATCAATGTCGCAAGATCAAAATCATAATGTATTTAGAAAGGCTAGTCCCAGGCAACATACAGGTTTAATATAAAAGCCCTACCTCTTCTCATTCAAAATAAAAGTCATGACCAAGGTTAAAGTTTTTGAAAAGTAGGTCAAACTTCCAGGTCAAGGTTACAAGATCAAAATCATAAATGTACAGCCTACTCCGGATATATTGAAATTCAGGGGACCATGCAAATTATTTCAATATATCCGAAATTCAATATAAGCGAAATCATAAAGCCGCCATTTTTACAAGTTCAATCCGGATCCAAAATAAAGAAGAACAAACCCGAACAAATTTATTTTGTTCTCGTTTATCTATAACAGTGAACAGGTTACATAGAATATGAGTCCTTGAAAGTTTAAATATTTCTTTTTTTATTTCTGTTACATTGAAAAGATAATCTTCACCCTCATTATTATTCCCCGATCGCATTTATTTGCGTTTTGAAAAAAAAATAACCGGACTAAAACGTTCTGCTGAACGCTGCTTGTATATCATCGTAAGTATACTCGGGTTAATCCCTTGGTTATTTCGAATTTAGGCATACCAATAGCCATTAACAGCACGCATTTAATTTCAAAGTTATGTTTTTTTCTAGATCTGTGGGGGTTACTATTATAATATTACGTTTAGCTGTTTAGCCTCTATATGTCCGTATTATATACATGGACGCAAAGAATTTAACAGTGAAGAATTTTATTTCGTAAGAACAAATTGCAGTATAAAAACACATAAGGTGAAAACTCAATTATTCACACCTTTGTATATCACCTGGTCAATCAGGCATAATTACTGTCACCAACGACAGCCGCCAGGGAGTACTTCAATATAACCGTTATGAAAACAACTCATTATCACCTGTGGGGACCGATCAGTGGCTTCAATATAAGCGAAATTTCAATATATCCGATTTCAATATAACCGTTATTTTAATGCAAAGAATATGAGAGGCAAAAACTGGGGATTTATTTCTATTTCAAAATAAGCGGAATTTCAAAATAAGCGAGTTCAATATAAGTGGAGTAAGCTGTATTTAGAAAGGTCTTGTCACAGGTAATACAAATTTAATATGAAAGCCCTATCTCTCCTCATTCAAAAGTTAAGGCCAATTCAAAGTAATTTTTAATTCTTTAAAAGTGGGTCAAACTTCAAGGTCAAGGGGTCAAAAATCATAGTGTATTAAAAAAGGTCTTTTCACAGGTAATACACAAGTTTAATATGAAAACCCTATCTCTTCTCATTCAAAAGATATGACCAAGGTTAAAGTTTTTGTGATGGACAAAACTACAGATGGACAGATGGACAGATGAATGAGATCTAATTATAGAGGTTACATGATAAACATACTCCAGTGAACTGTCAACAGGTACACATATTAAAATATCTACCTTTAATTTTACATCAAATTTCACTTCTTAAGCCAAGGTTACAGCACTTGTTCAGTTGTTTTATCAGATTTACAAAATATCTGTTTACTACTTACTTCTTTGGATTCTATTACATCTGTTACTTTTGAGGACACAGACTGCATGGCTTTCAGAATCCTGGCCATCTGTTTCTCTGTTTCTTCTAGTCTTGTTTGAAGAGCTCTCATTTCATCTGCACCTAGAATGTTTAATACAGAAGGGTCCACAATGAGAGCTTTTAATGTTTAGAATTAACACAACATTACTAAGAAACATAAAAATTCTACGGAACATGCTTCTTGACTCAATAAAATTGAAGATATAGATCTCTGCAAATAGTATTGTACAATATACACAGTCAAATATTTTTTTTATCTCATATGCAATGGGTGAAAGAAAAACTTCTGAGATAACGGGGGATTCAAGATAACAAGGTTAAAATATATAAAAGAGTAGTTGGTACTTCCATTTGACTTTGACAGTAACCCATGATATTCAAGATAAGTATGTTTGAGATAATTAAGTTCAACTGTATAAATATCATCAATAAGTCCCAACCGAAAAGTTGCGACAAAAGAAACTAAATTGCATTCTTGCAGTGAGTATTACGTTGAACTTTGTACATCTAAATGTATCTTAAGATGTTTTCATGTGTATTCTTTGTTTTACTATAGACAAAAGGTGCGTGTTTATACATATAAATTGAGCTGCTTTCTTACTGATATTTTTATCATCAGCTTTAGACAATAGGTTCTCCAGCTCGGACAGTTTAGCGCTGCTCTCCTTCAGATCACTCAGTGATGCCTCCTCCACTACAGACCTCTCCTCTGACGTGTTCGGACTTTTGTTTTTCACCTTCCCATATCCAGGCTTTTTGTCATATTCCCCTTTATTCTTCTTGTTAAAGACCTGAAACAATTAAAGTACCTCTAGTAGAATCTTGTTAATTTCCTTATTGATAATTTTTTTAAGCATAAGAATTCCTGAAAAGAGCATTTTTTATGTTCTCAAAATGCTAAAATTATATAATCATGCCCTCATATACATGTAATTATAGAGTATTCAATATTTTCTAACTGGCAGTCCTACAATGCAACCTAATATAACTTCCATTTCAAAAAGCAATAGGATATAAACTAAACAGATGATAGGATATTAAACAAATCATTAATATATTAGGACATAAACATGACTGTGTAAATTCCTTACTTTGACCAGTGTATATATCAGGTAACCAATGATGCCTACAGCGTAAACAGGAAGTACCATTCCCATCATGCCTCCCCGACCACTAGAAGTTTTTGATTGTTGTTTGTTCATTTCTGCTGCATGTCTCATTCCAGGGTGTGGTCCCTGCTATAATGTAAAGATAATAACCAGTGTAGGAAAAAAGTCATCTGCAATATTTCAATGTGATTCCAAGTCAGACGATATTAAATACTGTGCCATTTTTTGGAGGCTAACATATTCAATGTTGTACTCAACCCTAGTAATCAGAGTTTGCTTTATTACATGAAAAACAAAACAGATCAATAAAATAGTATTTTGATTTCATTCATTGAAATTCAGCAACTCATTTGTACCCAGTGCATAATTTTGCACATTAATTTTATAGTAGTGCTATTAAGCAAATCTTCAATTTGCCCTGATAGTGCTAATTGTTTGTTTTGTTTTTTTTTCTTTGACGTTATTGTTATATGTTTTTTGTAACTTGTGGTGGTATTATTGCATCACAATAAATAAATCAATTAGAATTCAAATCAATAATGTTGTGGGAAACTCTCTTTGCTGGTCAATAGTAAACATAGGTAATCAGAGATTACAGAGCTCACCTCAACTAATGTTGTCTTTAAGTAAGGCAAAGTCACACAATTAACCAACAAAAGGTGTACATCCCAAAATGAAAAATATTTATGCAATTTTGATCTGATACCTTGGATTAGACCTATATAAAAACTTCAAACTAGTTCTTTTTCATGAAAATGTGATTAAAATCCAGCATCTGAAGCAAATTTGAGAGTTTTCATCCCTTGATGCATCATTTGTGCAAGTTTGGTTTATACAATGTTATATAAGCCTTATAGTTTCCTGCACCCATAACTTTTACCTGGTCCATTATCTGAAAAATGTATGTCGAATTCAGCATCCGAAGCAAGTCCATTAGTGTGCATCCTAAGATGTATCGTCAAGCAAGTTTGCTCATTATAACCTCATAGTTACTTGGAAATGAAACCTGCATCAAAAACTAACCTTTTCAGTCATCCACAAAATGTAGGTCAGATTCAGCATCCAAAGCAAGCCTGGTAGTATGCATCCTAAGATGTATCATCCATGCAAGTTAAGTCATTATAGGGCTCATAATATCTTAGAAATCAAACCTGCATCAAAAACTTTAACCTGTTCACTCAACCTGATAATGAAGGTCAGATTCAGCATCCGAAGCAAGCCCGGTAGTGTATATCCTAAGATGTATCACCCATGCAAGTTTGGTCAACATAGGGCTTATAGTTCCTTGGAAATGAGACCAACACCAAAAACTGCACCAAAAATGTTAACCTGCTCCAAAAACATTAACCTGGTCATTCCTTTGCTGAAATTGCAGCATCTGAAACTTTGACTTGTACAATGAAACACACTAGAAGCATCTTCCATGCATGTCTAATCAATGTAGGACATAGAAGTACTTAAAAAGAAAACTGCTCCAGAAAACTTAACGTGGGACGCCGACACTGAGGGTATTACATAAGCTCCCCCAACTTCGTTGAGGTGAGCTAAAAATTAAATGTTGACTGTTTCTCTGCATATTGAGAATATATACAGATTAGAGACTTTACTAAATAAGAAAATATAATTTATTCAATCAAAAGTATAGATGTAGTGCATGTATCTTATTATTAAATATTACCTATGTAATATTCAGTGTCTTGAATGATTTATGCATATCTGCAGTTACTATGGTCCTGTCAAAGAAAAACCTGACCATGCATGCATAAGTATATAATTATAAATTGGTCTTGTGGTTCATAATTAAACTTTATCATGGAATCATTTGACTGGAATGACCAGGCTTATATAGGTCAAAGCTTAATCACCAGTATTTAAATGCATAATCAAATCTAACATGTATATACTTATGAAATTCATCTAATTATAAAATAAAATACCCTCATATGCCTTTCGATTTCTGCATCCATATTAGGTGGCATCCCTGATGGACGAGGATTTCCTTCATTTCCTCCTCCAGGGCCACGTGGATGATGAGCTCTAGGGGGCACTGAATATCAGAACAATAAATGCATTTTTTAAAATGTCAACACCTACATAAATATCATCCTATATAAGTTTATAGTATTACATATCATCATGATCATGTATCATATCTGATATCAAGCTCTCTTTCAGTGTTATTGGTGATCCTAAATTTACATCATACTCAAAAACAGAACAATATTTTTCACTTAATTTCATATAAATTTTATAAAGCGACAGTATTTCCTGTAAGATTACTTTTTGGTTGATTGTTCTGTACTCCTCTATCTTTAGTTCTTCCTCCTCCAAACAAGTTAGAGAGAATTGGGGCAAAGACCTTTGGGTAGAGAGTCAGCAAGCATCCTCCTATGGCTACTACTGTGATAATGACCCGTATATCACTCATTCCTGAAATCAAAGCCATATTTATCTTGCAATCAGGAACCCTGCAATAACCAATGTCAACAAAATCGTCTGAACTGTCAAATAACGTTTACTGGTCACGTGATAAATAATCAATTGCCTATTTTAGCCCATCTGTATAAAATTGCTGAATAACCTTCTTTTATTGTATTCAAACTTTTCAGAAAATGTCCATTTTAACCCTCGCAATACTCTATTACTGCAATAACTGAAAATAATAATAACCAAATCACGCGAGAATTGTCACTAAATTTCAAGATGGCGCTCTCCGTGAAAGAACTTGCATCTCTGCTCAGGTAAATATGCTTGTGATTACTTTTATATCAAATTCTAGTCCTCAAAAGTTATGCCGCTGTAAAATTGATATAGCTTTTATTTTTCTTAACAACATTATATCGGCAAATATACGGTAACACACACAAAAAAGAGAAGAAAAATCCTGTCACTATCAAAGGGAAGTAACTCCCTTTCACCAGATTTCTGTTCTGTATCAATAGTCGCATCATGTCTGTCGGTTCACAAAGTTCCCGTTCATTTTCTTTGCAGCGGTTGCACATACTGTTATGAAGATTGGTATACACTATCATAAGAAGATTTATGTCAAGTTCTGTTTTGAGAATGATCATTGACAAGCAATTTTTGACAAAGTTATGCCCCTTGGACTTAGAAAAAATCCAATTATTTACAGTTTCCGTTCATTTTCTTTGCAGCTGTTGCACATACTAAAACGAAATTTGGTATACACCATAGAGATTCATCATAAAATATTTAAGTCAAGTTCTGTTTTGTGTACACTTGACTCTCAGAGCAATTTTTGAATTAGTTATGCCCCTTGGACTTGGAAAAATACCAAATTATTTGCAGTTTCCAGTTATTTTCTTTGCAGAAGTTGCACATACTGAAATAAAATTTGGTATACAGATTATCATCAGAATTTCTAGGTTAAGTTCTGTTTTGGGTACGATGGAGCAATTTCTGACAGAATTATGCCCCTTGGACTTAACAAAAATTCCAGTTATTTGCTGTTTCTGATCAGTTTCTATGTTAATAGACAGAAACATTAATAGCATGAAACATATACATGTACATCAAACCGTGTACAGTACATGTGCATGTAATCAGTAATACCATCATATATTGTAATTGACAGCGTCCTGTCTGAGGACACCACCCAGACTCAGTCATTTGAAAACTTGGCCACTGGCTTTCACCACTACTTTACAAAACAAGATCACTTCAAAGTGGGATCTTCAATAGTGAGTGTAAACATGGGGATTTTCCGTTTTGTCATCACACTACTCTGCAGTGTTAGTCAGCATAACTAAAATATGTTCTTGTTTGTTCAAATGTTAAAAAAAAAGTAAGTTTTAAAAGTTTTATATTTTGAATTTACTGTGTCCATATCAATTTGGTGACATATTATCAAATAGTAGCAAAACATACAAATAAATACAATTGAAAATTTCATTTAATAATGTTTTATTGAATAATTTTATGACTTTAAACACAAGGGGGTGCTTCTAAACGTCACGTTTATTGTAAGAATGAAAAAAGATAAATACATTAAAAGCATCCTAAAAAGGCGTCTAATTGCCAAATATTTCAAACGACAAAATTTTATGACATTTTATAATCCACACAGAAACTGGCAGCCATCTTTCTTCTGTATGAGATGTATCGCACAGATCCCATAGCCGCTAATCCATTTGCCACTGTCTTTGTCCATCTTTTGGTAAGCATTATTAATTTGTTATTTGAAATCTTGCCATGGAAACTATATTTTATTTTGTTTTATCCGTTGTTGAAAGATTCCAATCCACAAAATCTCTGAGCAGGTTGTGAAAAGTATTGTGTATAGATTTATGGTAAAAATGTATTACTGCTGTATACTGTACAGATAAATATATTTTTGATTTAAAGTTGTCATTGCTATATTTAGAATCCTCCCACTGAGAACCAGGAAGCGGGTCAGTTTGACCTCCACTGGGCTATTCCAGCCATCTCCCCCGCAGAGAGATACTTCCTCTCACAACTCATCTCCAGTCCCACCAAAGAGGTACTCACACTTTCTTAAAATATTAGTCTAAGGGAAACTGTTAAAGACAGAATAATTAAGGACTGAATACAATAGCTTCCCAAGTTATACTATGTGGTTTGAGACTTATAAATAAGTAAATTATTTCAACCTACATTATAAAGTAGAGCTTGGCTTAAAAGGAACCAAATTTTTTCCCAAATAATGACTTCAAATTGTATAAAATTTAAAGGAAACTTCAAGCAGTTTGCTAGATTTGACATTCATCAAATTGTGTCATAAGCAACACAGGTTATTTTCTATTTTTTTTCAGCCAATCAAATGCACATTAGAATTAAATTATATATAAGTAAATTAAGTATAGATAGGTGGAAATCTCCCAGGATTCAGTTCTTGATTTGTAGTGTTATCTCCCAGCAGTACATTTATGAAGTGCTAGAGTCTAGACCATATAGCAAGATTTAAAAAAACATTGCTTTTAGTAGCATTGAAATTCTTAAAGTTAAACTTTGTGGGAGTTTGAACTTTGTGGGAGTTGAAAGAAAAACTATATATCCAATGAGTTGAAATATTGATTTTAAAGTGGTTTGGAATTCCAACTGTATTTATGAAATGTCTTATTACAACTTCACTTATTTTTAATTTCCGAATTTCATCTTGCATATACGTGTTACTGATCCAATGATTATTGAGTTGCTTAACATTACTCCGAGTCATAGATAAAGAAATGTTTGCTATATTTAACATTTCCTTTTAAAAAAAATTATCATGCTAAACTTGTTTTGATAATTTTCCTTGAACTTGTATCCATTAGGCTAACCCTTATGTTGCTCACTTCACGTTAATGGTAAGAACAACACTGATAACATTTTAACAGTTAAATCTGCATGTATACACAAGATTTTGTTATTTATCAGATTCCAAGAATGGCAAGTACAAGTACTGTCAGGACTTTGATTTTTGTGGATTTGAAATACTGTCAACCTACTGAACATCTTTTAAATAGCTCTATAAAACTGATGAGAAATTAAGTTATTATTGTTAATAATTTGAATCAAATTGTCTTGATGACAGATCACATTCTGCATTTTAAGTGGATGACATGCATGAAGTAGGTTTAGAGTGTTTCAATTGATCTCCAGATTCTTTTCTCATTGAATGATGCTTTGGTTGTTGGGAAAAGATCAAATATTATTAGAATGCCACTTTTTCCATTCGTGCAAAAGAAACTTGAAAGAGATTACTTAGAGAAGGATTGAATTATACAGTCTGATGCATTCATGTCATTATACTTGCTGTATTTGAATAGATGGTCAACATTTGAACTTTTCCCATTTAATTACAAGGCATTATTAGATTATTTTATGTAATACAATTGTTTTAAAAAGTTACAGCTATGTTGAAAAGTTACTAATATTTTTATCAAACTTTTGTTTAATACACTGAATCATGATTTTGAGATTCATGTATAATAGCAATTTATCAGCTATTGATGAGTTTTTACTCTTACAGATAAAGTGCTTTATATGTAATCATTGTCACATTGGAAATTTTATAGAAGGCCACAGAAATCATTGTGTCCCTCCCTCTGTCTGTCTTTCTGTTCATAAAGATATATTTAGTTTATAGAATATTAAACTGGCAGATTTGATGTTTTGTACAAGGACCAGAGGCTGTGTCTGGTCTCTGTTGATACTTCAGTGACACAGCAAAAAAAAAAAGAATTCGGGTCATGTCTTAGAAATAACATAGAGAGCAAATTAAATGGTTTTGTGATCTGTGGATGCTTTTGTCTTGTGAATGTTTTTATATACACATGTTAAATGGTATCATTTCTTCTGTTCATTTTTCAGTAAAATACAGAGAGTACTTGAACATGTGTAAATATTTTTTTCTCTACAGATGTTCAAAAAGACGCCAACTCAAATTATCCAACTGGATGTCAGTAGCATGCAGGTATGAGCTGTGATATTTGAACAGATCTGTAACAAATTACTGCTTATATCTACATGTAAAGCCCATGGTTCCATTGTAGATCCTGAAAATCATGTAAAAATGTGTTTGACAATTTATTGCAGAACTTTGATGTGAGTGGCCTACAGCTGGCCTTGGCTGAGAGACAATCAGAAATGCCTGCGCAGAGCAAGTCAGCCATGCCTTGTGTAGTTCCTGATCCTGATACTAAGCCTACAAGGTAAGAGGCTATGATCAAGTCAATCATTGTTTATTTAGCTCACCTAAGCCAAAAGCTCAAGTGAGCTTTTCTGATCACATTTTGTCTATAGTCCATCTATCTTTCAATCTGTCTGTCTGTCCATCTGTAAACTTTTCACATTTTCGAATTCCTTCTCCAGAACCACTGGGCCAGTTGCAACCAAACTTGCCAAAGAGCATCCATGGATGAAGGGAATTCATATTTGTTTATATGAAGGGCTACGCCCTCATTCAAGGGTCGTTAATTATAAAATACCCCATCTGTGAAAATTTGGTAGCATGTTTTAAAAAACGTCTTATCAAGAACCACCATTTCATAAAAGTTGAAACTTATATGAAACCAAGCGTATATTACAATTTGGATAAATCATGACCCCTAATGTTCAGGTTCGGCCGCAGTGGGGGATCAACGTTTTCCATAGGAATACATAATAAAAAATCTTTTGCTCAAGAACAACAAAGCCCTGTTTAGTGTAGTTGATATGAAAGCATTTTCAGATAGCGGAGATTCAAATTTCAAAACAGGACACCCTGGGGGTGAGAGTGGGCCACTATGGGGGATCAAAGTCTTGCTAAAGCATATACATGTATATTGGAAAAAATCTTTGAAAATCTTCTCAAGAACAATAAGGCCATGTTTAGTCATTTCTATATGAAAGCATTCTCAGGTAGTGTAAATTCAAATTGCTTCCTCACAAAAATAAGGGCCATAGAGCATTTATATGTTTTTTATTTTTAGTTATGATCATTTTGGAAAGCCTGGTGTAATAAATCCTGATGTACAGAGGCAGACAATTGAGGCCTTACTGACAGGAAACAAACCACCTGTGGAGAACTGCATGATGCCAGAGTTCATCAGACTAGCCCCGCCATTACACATAGCTGAAGATGAGGTATTTTTCTCTATTCAATTTTTCATTGGACTGCTGCAAAGTAGAATAACACTATTGGACCCCTTTTGATCATCATAATCTCTTGTGTTTTATATCTCTCTCATTATTTTTTATTTTGTAGCTGTGTTGGATGAACCCAGTGGATATGGATTATAACATTGCCTGGGATACCACCATGTGTGTCAGTAGTTCAGCAGGTGTGGAGATCCGACGGCTGATGTCTAAAGCATTCAAAGGGGCACTGACTCTACCCCAGCAGCAGCAGTTACTGACAGAGCTGGAAAAAGACAATAAACTGGTCTACCACATAGGCCTTACACCTGCCAAGGTAAACATATACAAACAATAGCTCTATCTACCACATAGGGCTCACTCCTGCCAAGGTAACCACTTATAGCTGTATCTACCACATAGGGCTCACTCCTGCCAAGGTAATCACTTATAGCTCTATCTACCACATAGGGCTCACTCCTGCCAAGGTAACCACTTATAGCTCTATCTACCACATAGGGCTCACTCCTGCCAAGGTAACCACTTATAATATAGGTTTGATCCCATAGAGGCTAGTTCTGCTTAGATAATTTTTTAGGGCATACTACTGCCAAAATGATCAAAGCAAGCTCTGATAAGGGTAGATATAACATGCATACCTGTACTACTGTACTGATAAGGCATTTTGTACTTTTATTACGAAATCTGCATCCAAAGTTAACATTAAACATGTTAAAGGTTTAACACTGCTAAGATAACAGTAGTGTAAGTGCAGGTAAGGACTACTTTACAGAAGCTATTAAAGACTCTCTGCAGCAAAAGTAGCTAAAAAGCCTACTGTAGCCAAAGTTAAAATACAGGACTCTCTTCTGCTACAGGTAAACATGAAGGTGTTAGAGTTTCATATGGATTTTCCTAAATTGTGCCAACTCCTTCATGATTATCAGATTTCAACCACGAGCTACAATGTTGTTTTGGGGAGGTTCACTTACATATGCATATACACATATGCAGACCACAATAATTAGTACTTGTTGATTATTCTTGTAACATTTTTAGCTCACCTCAATGAAGTAGGATGAGCTTATGTAATACCCTCGGTGTCAGTGTCGGCGTCCCAGGTTAAGGTTAAGTTTTTTGGAGCAGTTTTCTTTTTATGTACTTCTTTGTCCTATATTGATTAGACATGCATGGAAGGTGTTTCTAGTGTGTTTCATTATACCAGTCAAAGTTTTAGATGCTGCAATTTCAGCAAAGGAATGACCAGGTTAATGTTTTTGGAGCAGGTTAACATTTTTGGTGCAATTTTCGGTGTAGGTCTCATTTCCGAGTAACTATAAGTCGTATGTTGACCAAACTTGCATGGATGGTACATCTTAGGATGCACACTAACTGGCTAGCTTCGGATGCTGAATCTGACTCACATTTTCTGCATGATTGAACAGGTTTATGTTTTTGGTGCAGGTCTCATTTCCAAGGCACTATGAGCCCTATAATGACCAAACTTGCATGGATGATTCATCTAAGGATGCATACTACCAGGCTTGCTTCTGATGCTGAATCTGACTTACATGTACATTTTCCGGTTGAGTGAACAGGTTAAAGTTTTTGGTGCAGGTTTCATTTCAAAGATACTATGTCAGCCCTATAATGACCAAACTTGCATGGATGGTACATCTTAGGATGCACACTAACAGGCTAGCTTCAGATGCTGAATCTGACCCACATTTTCTGCATGATTGAACAGGTTTATGTTTTTGGTGCAGGTTTCATTTCCAAGGTACTATAAGCCCTATAATGACTAAACTTAACTAGCATGGATGATACATCTTAGGATGCATACTATCAGACTTGCTTCGGATGCTGATTCTGACCTACATTTTCTGGATGAGTGAACAGGTTAAAGTTTTTGGTGCAGGATTCATTTCCAAGTAACTTTAAGCCCTATAATGACCAAACTTGCATGGATGGTACATCTAAGGGTGCATTCTACTAGGCTGGCTTCAGATGCTGAATCTGACCTACATTTTTCTGGATTAGTGAAAAGGTTAGTTTTTTATACAGGTTTCATTTCCAAGTAACTTTGAGCTCTATGTTGAGCAAACTTGCATGGATGATACATCTTAGGATGCACACTAATTGACTTGCTTCAGATTCAGAATTCGACATACATTTTCCAGATAATGGACCTCATAAAAGTTATGGGTGCAGGTCTATTACCTAGAAACTATAAGGCTTATATAAACCAAACTTGCACAAATGATGCATCAAGGGATGAAAACTCTCAAACTTGCTTCAGATGCTGGATTTTAATTATGTTTTCATGATGAAGAACTAGTCTTAAGTTTTTATATAGGTCTATTCCAAAGTATCAAATCAAAATTGCATAAATTTTGCAATTTTGGATGTACACTTTTTGTTGATTAATTGTGTGACTTTGCCTTACTTAAAGACGACATTCGTTGAGGTTAGCTCTGTAATCTCTGATTACCTATGTTTGTATACAATTTTTATTGCATTTACAGCTTCCAGACTTAGTAGAAAATAACCCTTTAGTGGCCATAGAAGTTTTATTGAGATTGATGCAATCCAACCAAATCACAGAGTGAGATTTTTCTTATTGAAAAATGCAAAAAATATTTGTATCTAATGGATAAATAAATTAATGTGTAAAATTTCAAAAAGAATAAATTGGAATCTGTATTTTATTGAAGTTAAAATTCTTGGTTAAAATATCATTTGTAGAGAAAATTCTTACAAGTTTCCTCTCATCTGAAAAAAAAAATGTCTTTTATTAAGAGAACATAATGGTTTTTCAGGTATTTTTCTGTCCTAGTTAACATGGAAATGTCTCTGCATTCTATGGAGGTTGTCAACAGGTTAACAACAGTAAGTATTTATCCAAAGCAGTATATTTGTAAAATTCAAAATTTGGCACTACAGAATTTGAAAGCATCCATTTCCTACCTGAGGACTTTTTCATAATTATGTACCATATTGAATTATGTAAATATTTTCTTACATTTTAGGCTGTAGAACTTCCATCAGAATTCATTCATTTATACATCTCTAACTGCATCTCAACGTGTGAAACAATTCGTGATAGATATTTACAGAATAGACTTGTACGATTAGTGTGTGTGTTCCTTCAGTCTCTCATCAGAAACAAAATCATTGACGTTAAGGTAGGTCCGATGTATTTGTTTCTATTTCACTAGGCAAGAAAGAAAAAATTGTTGTATCAATTTGAATATTTGAAGCTCATCATTGAAGTTGAAATGAGCTTATGTGTCTTGTCTGGACAAACCTTAGAAATCTTTGAGTCCCCTTCTTTTATTTACATGACGCAGTATTCATGTACTTCTTTTTTAAGTCACTTGAATAACTCAGGTGACCTATTGCTATCCGTTTTCGTCCATCGTCATCCATCATGTGTTGTCCGTCTTGTGTTAACATTTGAACATTATCAGCTTCTTCTCTAAAACCACTGAACCAATTTCAACAAAAATTGTTATACAGCATCTATGGGTGAAGGGAAACAAAAATTTTGAATTTTATGGTCCCCGCTCCCCTTGGGCCTGAGGGATGGGGGCCAAAACCACCAAAATTATTGCAATCTTTAAAAATCTTCTTCTACTCCTGGACATCAAGCAGGCAAACTGTTGGCATGAATGTAATGATCATTGAGTCCTCTACCACAATTGTGAAATTCATGGCCCCAGGGTCAGGGATTCTTGTGCTAGGGCAGGGCTATATAAATTTTACATAGAAATATATGCAAAAATCTTTGAAAATCTTCTCAAGAACCACTGGGCCAGAAAATAAACTTATGTGGAAGTACCTAGGTATGTAGAAAAGTTGTTCCAAAATCATGAACCCCCGGCCTCAGGGTCAGGGGCTGGTGTTGGGAATCAAATTTTTACATAGAAATATATAGGAAAAATCTTTGAAAATCTTCCTTCTCCTGGGTTGTAACCACTGAGCCAGAAGTATATATATTTATGATGGAAGAAAGGTGCATGTAGCAAAATGTTAAATTATGATGCCCCCTGGGGTAGGGTGGGGGCATTAGGGTTACATAGAAATCTGAAAAGAAATTAATGCTTTTAAATCTGCTCCTTAGTATTAATCAACCATTTTATGATAAAATTTGCAAAATTATGGAAATATGTGGCCCCAGGGTCAGTGGTTCCTTTGAAGGGTGAGGTGCACAATCTGATTATACAGTGTAAGTGCATTTTCTCTAAAATTGTTACTCTGAACCTTTTATTAGTAAATAGAGTAAGCATGCTAAGTTTATAATTATGATAAGCAATGGTGACTCTTTCAAAATTGTGAATTGTGAATTTCAAGGCCTCTGGTTTAAAACAAGAACCAATTTTAATTGTTTGAATGTTGTTACACGATACTCAGGTGACCTATGAGGCCCGTGGGCCTCTTGTTTGAAAACGAAATGTCTTCTAAAATTTCATAAATTGTCATTTGTAGGATATTTTAACTAATTACAAGCATTTTGTAAAAATATACATGTATTAAATGAAAGGTGGGACTTATTCAGACTTTTAAAATCTTTGGACAGTGCTGACCCACAAAATGTACAGGCCACTGCATCAAGATAGCAACCAGCAATGGAGTGACTGAGAATGGGGGAAATACAGTGAATTCTTATTGAAACATTGTGCTGTGTGTGATGTCCCTCACAAAGTACCTTTTGTGATATTGCAATATCTATATCACAACATTTACCAACTTTTGTATATTGATGTTTATTAAAGTTACAAAATTTCGATTATACATGTACTTTGTTATCAACTGGACAGTACATGTATTATGGTTAAAAGTTCTCCAAATTTTTTGTATCTTAGAAATGAAAATATTGATTAGAAATCTCAAATGAAATAAATTAAAGAGTTATATATGTGACATACATTGGATTATTTCATTTCACATAATCTGAGTCTGAGTTACCTCTGCCCTCTAGAGATCAGCCTGTTTGTCTGATTTTATTTAACTGGAGCATACTTTCACCCATGTCTCCCAGTAAGGTTCAAACTTCACCAATTACTAGTAATGGAATTTGGGTAAGAGTGTGCAGTGACCTTCAATATTGAATATCATAAATCTATGTCACGTGACCAACACATTCATATGACATCACAAAAATGTTATTAAATAAAACCTGATTAAACAATTATCTGAAGTTGACTGCAATTTCAAACAAGGATTAAAGCTGAACACGATTACGTAAAATCATTAAATTTATTAACTTATAATTTATTTACTCTGTTGACCATTATAAAAGGGCAATGACTTAATATATGTTCAGTGTAATCAGTCGACACCGGAGAAGACGGACATATGCTATGCAGCACGTGGTTGCGAGAATAGAAACATAAACTTCGTCTAATGCAGGAAAGTAAGATGCCAAATAAATTTACAATTATAGTAGTGCAGGTCAGTGCAGTATACAAACAACAAAGATAAATGTAACTGCAATAAAATGTGAACAAAGGTAATGCAAGATTGTCCAGCGGGAAGCATGTCTGTCCGTTATCCACGCCGATCTCTCATTTCTCTCTCTCTCTCTGTAACGAATACCCTAGTGTTGATTATCAGATAATGATATCGAAAATGGCATATGCCTATTTACGAGTCGTGTTCAGCTTTAAATATTAAAATTAAAATCAAGCTCAAAATAAAATGTATGTTTTATAGGCATTTTAAGCCTTTTTATACATATTTTAACTACCAGCCACACAATAAAACAAACTTCATTTATCTAATACCCATGGTGTAACATGCAATGACCTTGAACCATTCAAAGGTCAAGGTTTAGAAAATATTTATAATCCTTGTTCAGAGTAAAATTTTCCCAAATAAACCATGGTGAGCATATTCTTCAAAAAGATTTAAATTAATAAATTTAAATTATTCACTTCTATTTGAAGCCTCTAAGAAAAAAGTATTCTGCTATTAAATATGCATCAACTGACAAAGTTTTGATTCTTAGCTAATTATAACTGAAGATTTTTTAATAAAGCTATAAAAAAAAACATTTGTAAGTAGGTCACAATGACCTACTTTAAAAAAATATATATAATTGACTCAAGATGCATTAATAAACAAAGATTGAAGATTCTAAGCCAATAAGTATGTGAGATAGTCAAAAGTAAGTCACTTTGACCTACTTTTTCATCTACATCTTGGTAAAACCAAAATGCATCAACTGACAAAGTTTGATTTTCGAACACATGAAGTACTGGAGATACTTAATTATAGCCATAAAATGTTAAAATTAGGTCACTGTGACCTAATTTTTAGAATGTGCTGTAAGTCAAAGCCCGAAATTTACATCATTGCCGTTTGTTATAAAGTTTGATGATTCTAAAAGCCAATATGTACCGCAACGGAAAATAAAAAGTAGGTCACCATGACCTATGTTTTATGGTCATAACTCTCCAAAACCCAATTTTTACATAACCCACAAAATTTGAGAATTTGCTTTATTTTTAGCTTTAAGATATTTTTTAAAGCTATAAAATGTAAAAAGTAGGTCACCATGACCTACTTTTTGGTCGTCACTCTCCTAAAACCCAAGATGCATCAACTCACAAAGTTTGATGATTCTAAGCTTATTAATACCTAAGATGCTTAAATAAAGCTATAAAATGTCAAATGTATTTCACCATGACCTTTATTACAGTAACACTTCCAAAAACAAGATTGCAATCAATTCACAAAGTTTGATGTATATCATCATTGAATACCTAAGGTACTTAAATATAAGCTAATAAAATCAAAAGTAATTCACCGTGACCTACTTTTTGTGTCGTCACTCTCCAAAATTTTTACTTCCTAATAATTATATAATTTGTCACAAAGTTAATGTAATGAAATTTTGCCTTAATAATTTTTACCGAAGATACTTAAATAATAGCCATAAAATTTCAAAAGTAGGTGAAAAAACATTTTAAGATTCACATTTTTCAAAGAAAGATTCTGCAACAAGTTTGATGATTGTAGGTTAAATCTAATAAAACTTTTATGCCTTTTAATGCACAATGATTAAAACATATGAGTTGAAAATAGTTACTAAATGTAGGTCACAGTATACATGTACATTTTTCATAAAATATTTTTAAGCACTTTTATGCAGCAATTTACAAGATTTTATTCAACCCTCTAGTGTCTGCATTAAACAATTTAAATGTTTTAAACAGGATAAGTCATGTTACAAGTAAACACTATATATTTTTTTATGTATCATGTCCTTGGAACATCAACTAACAAAGTTTGATGATCATAGGCCTTAAAGTGTCAAAAATATGCCTTCAAATCAAAAAAAAAGAAAAAAAAAAGTTCACTGTGACCTATTTTGATTTAAATGATGTGCATAAGTCTGTAAAACATTGCATCTCAACTTACAAGATTTGATATCCTAGTCCTTTTACAAAAGCAAAATATAAACGTTTTTATCAATTGTAAATTTAGGTCAACTTTGAAGTGACCTTGAGACCACGCCCTTTGCCCCAGATTTCATGCCTTTGAACAATTTTTAATCTTCAACATATTCTGATCCTTGTGTGTAAGTTTTGAAAATCTGCCTTGTGGTTCATTGGAGAAGAAGATTTTTTAGCAACCAGTATTTTTGGTTTTGATTTTTCCTATATATCTTCTTGTAAAACCTTATTTTAGTATAAATGGTAGCCCTTGGGCCAAGGATACCCTGTGACAAATTTGACACTGATTAGCCAAGGCGTTCTTGAGTTATGGCCCATTTTCTAAAAAGTTAACGCACACCGCACGACGCACAAATGTTCATAGCATTAGCTCTTTGAGCCTTTGGCTCAGAAGAGCTAAAAATTAACCTTCGATAGAGCTAAGAAATTAAAATCTATTATGATCTTGGCTGTTTGTTTCAATTCAAATACTGTGGTTTCATTAATATTCGTTGAGCATCAATTTTTGAGGATTTCATTGTTGAGCAGATCCACGAAATTAAATGTTCATTGAATTGAGAAATGTGTTATTCACTTGTATAGACAATGCTTTCGTCCACAAAATTGCATATCATCAAAAACGTCCGTGTTACAATATCCACGAAAATTGACAGCAACAAAAATTGATGAAACCACAGTAGGCTTCTTTATTTGGCAACCAAACAAACTTAAGGCCATTTTTACCTTATTTTATATTCCCAAGATGAGCACTTACACTTGGGGGTCATGATTTGAACTTTGAATCTACACTATATCAGGATGCTTCCATATAAGTTTAGCTTTTCAGGTACTAAAGATGATAACTAGGAACTGTTGTATTTTACCGAGTTTATTACAGTAACAATTTAACAACAAGCAATTACAATATTCACACAGACATTGCTGTATATCATCATTGAATAACAGAGGAAAATATATGTCTATTAACATACAATAAGTAATCCACTAGACTACAGAACAAGTCCAAACTATTGGGACTCTGTGTTCATTCCCAAAATTTTTACTTCTTCTAATAATTATATAATTTGTGAAGTACTTTAATCATTAATGTAATGAAATGTTTGCCTTAATTTAGATTTTTACCAGCAATTTTGGAATAATATAGCATTATTTCTAGATGGACGGCGAAACAATTCATTTGTAAGATTCAATTTGGAAAAGAAAGATTTAACACTACCTGTGCTAATGAGGGTTAACATCTAATAAAACTTTTATTGTTTACTGACATAATGCACAATGATTACCTAAAGCAAACAGAGTTGGAAATAGTGTACTAAATGCAGGCAAGCAGCTTAATATACATGTACATGTACATTTCTTCTGAAAATATTTTTATAGCACTTTTATGCATGTCATACTTTTATTCAATTCTAGTGTTCGAATTAAACAAATGTACTGTAAGCAGACGGGGCTTGTTACATGTAAACACTCTACATTTTTATGTATCAGGTCCTTGGAACATCAACTTGTCCTGTTCCAAGAGCACAATTTTGAAGCAAAATATATCAAGTCCATCAAATAAACAAAAAAGATCAAAAACTTCCAATATTTGCCCTATATTGCTGATCTGCATGCAGAAATGTAAATTTACATTGGACAAGACACTCTGCATACAGATCAATCCCTGTAAAACATTGTTACATCTCGCACCACTTGGATGAACAACAGATGATGGATATGCAGTATGTTTCATGACAAATCGGTCTACAATACAAAAAAACAGTCCAGTCTTTTAATGGAGGTCTTGAAAGTTGATAGTTGATCCTGTAAACTCTGAATCTTGAATTGATTGGTCTAGACTAGTGGAAGAATTGTCAGTTAGATCAGAAATTTCACCTCCCAACACTTGTTCATCTGGATATAGATCTGTAACGGTACTAGGAGGGTCATCCTGAAAAAAGATATATTTTCTTTATACCAAATTATGTTTTACTGCTTAGCAATACGAATCCCTTTCAAGATCTCCAGATATTTTATTTTCCAGTAAGTAATATGCAAACTTCCTATAAAATTGTTCTACTACTGTATACAGGGTTATTTTTGGCCCCGTATATGTTCGCCATTGCAAACTTGTCAACAATCTTGTTCCATTTTAAAGTTCTGTATATGAAATTATTTTGTGCTTTTTGAATTTGTCCCATTTTAAATTCACTAAACAGAGAGTATGGTGAAAGAGTTGAAAATAAAACAGGTGAAAATTTCCATGTCATAATTGTTTTTTATGGCAGTATGTATGATACAGTTGGTTAACTTACCTGTAACAGCTGGGTCTGCACATACATGACCCCCGTCTCTGGGTCCCTGAACGTGATTCCCCGTGTAGACAGCGAGTCAGCGGAGGGACTGAAGGTCACATGGTCCGTGGAGGCACTGAATGACGGCGCCTCCTCAGGGGACAGGAACACTGAAGAAGCCTGGGCCAGCAAACTCTCCTCAGAATTCTCTACAAGACCAATATTGTACAGGTATTAACATGTTTGCTACATACAGACAGAGAGACGGTTCTTCATAAAATTTGAAGAGGTTACATTCAAAACTGACTTGCCAAATCTCAACATAAGTGTCAATGAAATACATTCAAACAAACAGAAAGACAAAGTCATGTCAAACATTCACTGAATTATGATTTATCATATAATTAGAAGTAAATACACTGATTCTGCACGGTGTGATACGGGTGATGTCTCAAAACCCCATATCACGGCCCGGTTCGAAAATCCATATCACGTATCGGACCGGCAGGCCAAAAATCCATATCAAACCGGAAGTAACGTTTGTTAAAGATTTAATGTTAATTTACTTGATTTTATTCAAATGTTCATATAAAATAATTCTTTAATGACATCTGTGGTCTTAATTTTTTTTCAGTTTAAATACCTAAAATTGGCTCCATTAGATTTTAAAGAAAAATGTCATAAACAATTCTTCAATGACCATATGTAAACTCTCATATTAATTAAGTATTTTAAACATATGACAAATAGAATACTGCATACTAAAATCCATATCATATGTCACATCAGCCCTCGGGCCCAGCCACTCGGGCTAATATGACATATGATATGGATTTTTGTATGTAGTATTCTCTATATGTCTTACCCTGTTCTTGGTAGTCCTGACTATCGACAGTCGTTGAGGATTTTTCCTTCAGAAGTTGTCTCCTCTGTCTTGCCCGATAACTCAGGTTGTGATTACTGAGGTAATCAGTCCGAGCAGACCCACTGTTATTCTCCAATACCACTGGACTTCCCATACTCTCTGAGAAAGTGGTTACAACAATTATTGCACTTGCACTTGTAAATTTACATGTACTGGAATATTTTTTTTGAAATGATTCTATATGTATCATGAACATTTTTATTAAACATATAAATATATATATATTTAAGAACATATATATATATATCAATTTCATTTTGATTTTTTGACTGATTTCAGTATAAACAGTTAGGTCTATTTCTGAAATCTTACGAGTGTGTGGGACTGTCTGATTGGCTGTTGGCTCAGATTTCTCCAGCCCTGACATCAGCTGATTCAGAACAGCCTGGCTGATTTGTGGAATCTCCCCAGAAGAATCTGAAATATTTTATCTAAGTGTTAAGCATTATTATGTTATAACATTTTTAGATAAGTTTTCCTATTATGTCACAAATGTAATAAGTTTCGCTATAAACCCTGAAAAATGTTGAATCACACCGGAAACAGTTATGCCACACGCCGGAAACAGTTATGTCCCCCCGACGGAAGCAGTTATGTCACCCTCTCGATCACGTTCACGTGTTTTTACGTTATGCATTTTAGCTTGGGTTCGAGATTTTATGACGTCGGTTGCTAAGCAAATGTAAACAACGGAGCGTTATTCTTATCGTCAAGAAAGCATTTTTAGATTATTTGAGTAAGTTTCAATGATTTTAAATGATTAAATTTTTTTTATTTTAAAAATGTCATATAACATATTCCACATGGCTTCTCGGGCGACTATACCAGAATATTTGCCCCTTGGTGACAGGAAAGCCTTCGGCATCGGGTGACATAACACTCCAGGGCTTTCCTGTCACCGCGGGGCAAATATTCTGGTATGTCACCCTCGAAGCCATGTGATATATGTATAATATCATAATGTGGAAATTACATATAAATGAAGTGAAATTAAATTTCAAATAATAGGAGAAAGTACAACATTTCTTTATCACAAACCTTTGAAATAACTGGATTATTTTACTTATACACTAAAATTAAATGTAAAATTACCTGCAGGATTGGTGATGAATTCCAATGGGTCAATGGTCATTTGCTCAGATGCAGGAATGGTCAGCATAGCCATCGTAGTCTTTGGTTCTGTTGATATACATGTATTACAAATTAGTAAGAATCAGAAATTTAAAAATCTTTTCAAAAAGTCAAATAATTCATTTTTTCTTCACTTCTTTCTTTGTTTATTCTTTAATATTGGCTAGGTACCTGCTCCCTGGACGGACTGGTCCATGTTCTGACTTGCTCCAGGGTCTACAAAAAAGCAACATTAAAAGTTAAATCTTTACTCTTTTTTTCTTTGAAAACATGTACATACATGTAACAATCTCTGTTATCTGTACCAGTATTTTTTTAATACACAACAATCTCTGTTATTGTAGCCTATCTTTAACAATCTCTGTTATCTGTAGCCTATCTTTAACAATCTCTGTTATCTGTTTACAATCTTCTTACTATTGATCTGGACCGTCTGGATGACCGTTTTGGTGTCTGTGTTTGAGGTCATCATTCCTATGTCCTGTAACTCCCCGCCCAGCAGAGGCTCCAGGTCCAGCTGAGTGACCTGTCCATTGCTAGAAATGCTGCTCAAGTGTTTCTGGACCATGTGTTCCCGTAGCTTGGACTTCAAAAAGTACTTCTTCATGCAGCCCTCTATAGGGCAGTGATACGCTATCTTCTCCACTTTTTGGTTTTCATGTCGGTTCATGTGAACTTTCAGACTTGTTTTGGCAACAAATTTTGCAGTGCATCCTGTAAGAAAATTCAATTTTTATTCAAACATTTTTTTTTTCAAATTCATTGGAAAAATTCACAACATTAAAAATCCATGAAGAAACATAGTGGTTACCTTCAACAGGACATGAAAATGGCTTTTTTCCGCTGTGTGTAATCATGTGACCTTTCAGGTGCTCTGACCTCATAAAAGCTCGACCACAACTTTCCACTGGACATTTCCACTTACGGAGTCCTGTGTGCTTGGCTTGATGTCGACGCAATTTACTGGCAGTAGTAAAGGCCCATCCACAGTTCTATTTCAGAAAAAGAAATTACTTCAATGTACACTTCACAAGGACATACTTTTAAATTTCTTAAGTACTATCATATATTTATTTTTCCATTTTCAATTATCACAATTTCGTAATGTATTCCAAGTCTTTCTAGTATGAATAGAGTTATTTTATTTTTTATGGTGGTGGACTCATGACTTTTGCAGCTTTTGATAATAACCCATACAACAATAGGCCAACACATAAAACTTAAAAGAGCTTTCAGATTTCTATCTTCAAAGTTACAACCCTTTGCAACTAAAAAAAATTTAAAAAGTTATAAAATTGCTCCAAAGATATTAAACCATACGTGTGTTTTTCTAACTGAAAACAAGATGTATTTTATAAACATAAATCTTCGATCTAAGGGCAAACAAATCCCAAACATAAATCTGCTTATCATGATTCAGACATATTTTAACTATGAAAAGAAAAAAAAAACTTACTTCAAAATAACAGACAAATGGTTTTTCTCCTGTGTGAGACCTGATATGCTGCTTGAGACGACAGGCGGTGGAGTAAACTTTGTTACAACCCTCGTAATTGCACCGAAAATCCCGGTCCTGTTGGTGTGTGCGGGGGTGTGACCCCATACAGTGAGGGGAGAAGAAAGTCTTGTCACACCCATCCACTGGACATCTAACAATGAAATCACTCTCAGTTAAAGTCAGGCTCTTAAAAATACCAGTTTACACAAGAGATGTTTGTAAAACACTTATGCCCCCCTCCCCCCAAATTGGAATTTTTCCAAGTCCAAAAGGGCACAAATGGCGCAATTGTATCAAAACAAAATTTGACCTAGATATTCACCTGATAAATCTGTACACTATATTTCAGTATGTGCAACAGTTGCAAAGAAAATGATTGGAAACTTAAAATAATTGGAATTTTTCTAAGTCCAATGGGCATAACTCTGTCAAAAATGGTGCGATCGCATGCAAAACAGAACTTGACCTAGATATTTATCTGATATATCTGTATAACAAATTTCATTTCAGTATGTGCAAAATAAATGGAAACTGCAAATAATTGGAATTTTTTTCTAAGTCCAAGGGGCATAACTCTGTCAAAAACGGTGCAATCGTACCCAAAACAGCACTTGACCTAGATATTCATCTGATATATCCAAATTTCATTTCAGTATGTGCAACGGTTGTGAAGAAAATGAACGGAAACTAAGTGGACCAACAGACTGACTGACATACCAACAGACAGCAGTAAAGCAATATGCCCTCCCTTCTTCCAAGAGGGGCATCATAATTTTAAACTTTGTTATACTGTTATATTTATGCAATATTGTTCAAAAGGTAACCTTTTACATATTGTTTAATATATACTGTACATGCATTTAATTTAATATCATTTAAAATCTCTTCATAAACATTTAAATCACAATCAATCTTTTCAAGCTTACTTGTATTTCTTTTCAGATCCATTGTGCGTTTTCATGTGAAGGTTCAGCTGTCTACGGTTTGGGAATTTCATGTTACATCCTGGTTCTAAACAAGGCTCACATGGCTTCTCATGAGATTTCTTGTGAGATTTCAAGTTATACGACGTGGCAAATCTCTTACCGCAGTCTGGGTAGTCGCACTGGAAATAAATTTATAAACTTAAGGTTCAGTTTAGAATTAAAGCTACATGTAGATTACATCTTTGGTGAATTGATATTCAGATTTCACTTTACTTATGTAGAAAGCTGTCCAAAAGCAAACTGCTTTTGAAGTGAGTATATGTACATGTACCGTAAATCTGGAAATTTTTGCTGTAGATAAATTTTTAGCAAATTTGCGAGTTCATTGCATTCGCAAAAATATTTTTCTTAAAAATAATTCAACAATAAGAAAATGTAAACAAAGTAATGGTCATTCGCAAAATTTTGAAACATAAAAATTAATCAATAGCATTTTGACCCAGATTCGCAAAATAAAATCGACGTAAAAATTTCCAGATTTACGGTATCACGACCATTAAGACTGACTCTTTTACCTCTAAACAGGTCGAAACCACTAGATTTTCTGACGTCAGCATAAATTTGCATGTAAATTAGCTATCTGTTTACTTTACTCACTGATGAATGAGTCGCAATGCATTGTAGGCTACTACAAGTACTCAGCTGTGTTGAAAATAAAGGGCAACTTAAATTGTCCCTTGGAAACTTATTTTCATTCCTTTTTAGAGATTTATGAAAAAAATATTTAAAATGATGTATAATCTTTCATTTCTATGTTCACATTTACAAAATTTGCTTTAAGAAGCCTTATATCAACTTATTTTACATCGACCTAAACCATATCGTTCAAAGAGACGTACATGTAGGTGCTGTCTACAAAGCATGAAGTTTTTTCACGTGATATACGTGTACATAGTTTTAGACCGCAGTGCAATGTGCGCAAATTATCAAAAAGTTTTCTAAGTACATTTAAAACTCAAAGCGTTTGTATGGTATTCGAAGCAACTGTTAATCATCTAAAACAACTCCAATATTAAATGTGAGCATGGAGCAATGTCTTTGGAATATAATCTTTCAATTTTGACTTATAAAGTGACAAAGAAGAACTATGGTTTTGCCAGTGACGAAGTAATTATTATGCAGTAAACTGACGAAAACCAAGTTGCTATTGAATCGTAAACACGTAGTAGAGTGTCATGCTTTGGGACTCTTTCACTTGATTGGAGAAGGGGTGTGGTGAAGTAATCGTCACGTGTTGAAAACTGCCTTCCATATAAGGAAGTGGTATCGACCTGCTAAAATTTGATTTAAAATGAGAACACAATACAGCTGCTTACCTGAAAATCTTTCCTTCCTTGATGAGATTCTTCATGTCTTTTAAGTTTATAACACGTGGTAAATGCCCAATCACAGCCTGGTTTGCTACACTATAAAAAAAAATTTGAAATATGAACCAAAAGTTGTGTACTGAAATTCTCAACAGGCTTGCTCTTTAGCTACATGCCCTTATAATCCAACATTGTTTTATAGTTACCTTGAAGGGTCTTTCTCCCGTGTGACTCATCAGATGTATCCTCATTTTGGAGAGCTTTCTGAAGATTTTGTCACACCCTGGGTGAGTACAGAGGTACATGTACACCCACTTGTGGGGCCCTCCAGTGGGGTTCTTCAAGAACATGGGAGGCTACAAGAACAGCCATTTCATGTAACATCAGAAGAAGAAAGCATTGAGAAAAGCTTGTTCTTACTAAACTAAATACATGATCTTTAGTCCATGCGACTTTGATTATTAGTGATGCATGCCTACCTTTGTAATGGAGTTGTCCACATTTATCATGGTCTGACCCCCTCCTTCACCGGAATTCGTGGTTAGAATGGTACTTCCTCCTGGGTTAGCTGGCAAAATCAGGAATCCTGCAAAATTAGTGAAATTTCAATTATGTGGGCATATTCTGCATTATAACACCTACTATGTACATAAACCACTCTTCAGAGAAGGACAGTTCTATCTTTATAAACTGTAAATAATGCATTCATGAATCTTTTAATGTTTAGTATGCATTCCAAAATTTAACAAAAGAAGTCAAAACAATTAGAGAGAAAAAAAAGAACATTTATAATCCTAATGGTCTTCACATATCCATATTAATTAGCTACTGAAAATCACTACATGTATCTGAATAATCATAATGCTTGTTTAATCACCAGTTTGGATAGGTTGGGCTTTAGAGTTGTCCACATTCTTTGCCATCTGATTGACATTTACAAGCCTCGTCATGGAATCACTCCCTGGGAGCTGATTGGAGTTGATGTGCAGGAGTTGCTGCCCCTGGCTGGTGTTGACTAGAATTTGTGTAGTATTCTGCACAGGAACAAACTTAATTTCTTGGGACTGTTTGTCATCTGTTTTAGGGTTTTGAATGGTAATGAGCTGATTCTGCACAAGCTGTAAAGTGCCAGATGTGAGATTTGTTGGTGCGACAGTATGCATGCTCATAGGCTGCTGAACTTGAACCACATTTAGTTTGCTATTAGTTACAGTTATTGCATTGTTCGAAGCACTGACTGCTTGGGCTAGTTTAGTGACTTGCTGAGTCTTGCTTTTTAATAATGAAACAGATGAAGAAATGTCAGTAATTGACTTAGAGAAGATATCAGAGTTGTAACTCTTTGGGCCTACTGAAGCCTCAAATTCTAACCCTCTGTCTGGCATACTTTCAAGTTCCTGGGGAGTCATTAACATGTTATTTTTATCCTCAAATATTGAGACATCCTTTTCTGAAATACTTGTACTGCAACCAGTAGACTGGGATTGAGAAAATATAGAAGCCATTGTGGAATTAGACCCAGAAATTCCCCCAGAGCTTGCAGTCGACAGCAGGGACCCATTGGTCCCTCCGAGCAGCAAACTTGACGATTCCAATGGAAGGACAGATCCCTCAGCACAAAGAGGCAAATCTGTCGTGTCTGATAGTGATGCACCAAATAATTCAATCCCATCGTTCCCGCTTGTTGGGATGTCAAAATCTATAGCCTCTATATTTCTGCATCGCGACTTCAACCACTCAGTATTGTTTTCAACTACAGCCCTTTCGTAACTATCTAAATCTACGTCCGATGGCGATGATAGAAACTGTAAGTTGTCGCCATTTTGTATTCCTTTAGGATGTTCAACAAGTTGATCTTCCGCGAGAAGCTCGTTCTTGATTGAGAATGCATCTGGTAGGTCAATGTTTACATCCAGACCCGGCACATGTGTACCACATTGGGGGCCGCCATGTTTTACGTTCACTAGACCCCCTTCATTCGACATGTCAGAGCCCCATTCACGTATTTCTTATGGGGTTCGCCATTACAGTTCAGAGCGCAAGGTACCCTGACGTCACCGGATATGGTGTAATAATCGTGTAGTGCAAACTAAAATGGCGGGAAAGTCTCAATTATTTTTTGTAAACTATCAGTTGGAAGTTTATGTTTTGTAATCTCAGCGAGATGTCATCTCGCTGAGATTATATGTTTTGTTAACCTGACTGTATGGGAATACCGTAAGACGATACCTATATAGAACAAAAAGACAATATTTATAGATGAATCCAGAGTACGTCTCAATCCACAGCCATGAGTCCACACTTATCATATGATATATCTAGCTCTCCAGAATGGAAGAGGATCATAAATCTGACAGTAATTTTGCGACGATTAAAGAATCAAACTTGCTCGTCTTCTACTTATATCCTAAGTAACCGGAAAAGCAGGCGCGGATCCAGGATTTTTTCCAGAGCTCGGGTTATCTGTCTCATTAAAAAGAAAGAAAAAAAACTGACTAAACTTATCCAAAACGTGAATAATCAACTCAGTATTTCGTGGTGGGGGTCTGTTGTTTCAAATGTTGCAAATAATTGTTCTAAAACAGTAAAACTTGATATCCCCAAAAATTTTCTGTGGTCAACAATGATGTGTTTTTGTTAACCTTAGATATAATTTTAGATAATGTGTTTTTTTAAAGGCAGGTAAACATGCAAGTTTTTGAGTATTTATCAAAATTAAGATATTTTGTGACTTTTTTTCTGCAGATTCAACGTCAATTTTCATTTTTTTAAAGGAAAATTTTCAAAATTCTCTTGGCAAATGAATATTTTCAATTTTCATAAGTTTTTATCCAAATATGATATGTTGGTGCATACCGTTAAGGCATTATGGACTTTTTAATTAGTTTATGAGTTACCGTTTTTTAAAATATTCAACTGAAAAAAAGATTAGTTTGACAGAAATATTGACTGTCATTTCACATGTCCATACCAAGGCTTTTTGTGTTTCACTTGGAGGGGGATATGTTTAGAGACAAAAACGGCAAAAATGCTTATTTCTTCAGCAATTAATTTCCAAGTGCTTAACAACTGAAACTTGCATTTTTACTAATAATGCCTAATTTTATATGCATAATGTATATGCATAAAACATAAGAAAAGATTTAAGAAACAATTATTCATATCCAATACTATTTTAGAATATAATGATGCTTTGTAGCCCGATTTCAGTGGGAAATGTCTGCCCCTCTTATTTCAAGAGCTGGAATTATGGATATTTTACGATTTAGCACTGGTATCAAAGCAATTAATCAATTACCATTGCATTGTTCTTTGTATTAAACAAGGATTTTATGGCCATATTGTCAACAATCTTGGATTAAATGGTTGTAAAATGTAGGCGAGAATCGAGAGTTAGGGTGAATAGTTCTTTATTTAATTTCAATTTTCAATCGGGTTCGAGATCCATTGCGTTCCTCATGGCGGAAAACTCAAGAGTAAGATTTTTCAGAGAAGTGGTTGTGCCCTCGAATTCAGGGGCAAAATGGAAAGAATGTCATATCAACACAGGTAATACAATCAGAAATGTATTTAATTATTTTGGTCAATTTATTTACTGGTAGTAGTTACTGAGAGAGTCGATGTCGACAGTATATACCGGCATAATCACTCACAGACCTGTTTCATTTTCAGTTTACAAAAAGTGACCGAAATTCGGTCGACCAGCGAAACTGTAGAGTTTTTTTTTTTTGCTTTGGAAAGAATGAATTTTAGGTAGTCCAAATGGAAAGCAAAATAATTTGACCGAAAGAAAAAATGACAAACAAACAGCAAAATTCCCCAGGTTCATACACTTAACAGGTTGGGCACACACCGCCAAATGGTCATTTAAGCCCCGTTTTGTGGTCATTCGCCCATATCGGCGTCTTTATTAACCACCAAATGGTAGAGAAAAATCGTTCTGTTCACTTCTCTGGATAATCTCAGCGAGATGGGTAGAGACTGAAAATTTGGACTGATGTCTACTACCCATCTCAGACTAGTCCCATACAACGTGATTCGGGCTTTTTTGCTCCGACTTCGGCAGCTCGTTTCAATAAATACAGGCTGAAATAAATTATCTGCCCGCCTCAACTTTTTCCTTTGAACATCCCTTAAAGTGTCTATCACTATAAAACTTTCCTTTCTGACCTTTAAAATGTTTAAATCCAGTAAAATATAAAGTTGTTTATTTTTCCTGACAGCATAATGGCTGTTTGCTATTCATTTAACCTTCGCTGCTGAAGAGTTCCACAATAATCTGTTTCCAATAATTCATACTATAGATCATTCTTATAAGAAATAGTAGTAGTACTAATTATTGGAAAATATAGATATTTATCTGTACTCTCAACGAAAAAATTAAAATTTCAACGTGGACTTTTTTGCGCAGTGTCGTTTAAATAATTGACAAAATCGTCACCTATGTAAACAAGTGTAACGTTTTCTGTTTTAACTTAAAAAGAAAAATTCCCTCCGTCTCGCACGTAGTTGTGCCTATCAATTGTGTTGATCACTTCATATTTCTGTCATCCGGGCAACCGATCAATTATCTAAACCAATCAAAAATGACGATCTTTTCCAAACTTCGGTCAAAAGACTGAATTAACTACGGAGGCCCATAAGTGTTAATTTTCAAAAAGTAAAATAAGAGGAAGGGTAAGAATTCGCTTTTATTTAGTTTATTTCATAAGCAATGGCTTTATTTTTTATACAAAAGCGATATGCAGTGAATTCATGTTAAAATAATCACTCGAAAACCATAATCTTAGAATAAAAACAGGAATAATTGCAAATGTCACTTTGTAAATCTTTTATCCAAAAATATTTAATAAATATGGTAGATACAACATTAGATATGCATACTAAACCAGAAAGGGTCGCACAGAAATCGTAACTTCATCCTAAAAGAAAATCAAGAATAAATATTACATTCAAATGTAGGAAAAGTGAATATTATAGCAATAACTGCCCACCATAGGAATAAGATTCGAGGAGCTCGTGTTTAACGGGATTTTATAAAGATTTATGTAGACGCAGATCGAAAGATCGTTTGAAAAGTTACTTCTCTAGACTAACACCTCTTGTTTATATGTATTTTTTTACCGAACTATACACAACAAAACAATTTTTTGTATTGTTTGAGCTAATAGTTCGGCCATCACGAACAGCTGTGGGTTTCGTTTTTACGAAGTTCCACAGAAATTCCACATGAAAAATTGACTAAATTGTATTAAATGTGCGATGAATATGTTAATTAAAATTCCCCAATGCCTAAGTAAATGCGCTTTTGCTTTATTTCAATGAAAATTGGATTTGAATAAAAAAGACCACCATTTGGTAGGTAAAAATGACGCCGATATGGGCGATTGACCACCAAACGGGGGTTAAATGACCATTTGGCGCTGTGTGCCCAACCTGCTTAACTCAATTAGTCAATAACTGTCAATCAGCTCAACATTCATAAACGCGACAATATACAGTACATACAAGTCACTAGTCAGTTCTTTTTGTTAATGTGCGTCACCTGAATGGGACCTTCACATCCAAAAAGATCTATTTGAATTTCCTGGAAATATGCTATGCTAGCACAGGTGTTGCAGCACTACAGTTCAAATGTGCACAGTATCTAAAATAACAGTCACTTGAACAGCATAGTTAAATATTGCTTGATGTGTAATTTACAAAATTGTTAGTAATCATGTTTCCATAAACAAGTGCACCTATTTCACACCATCATTCATACATGAAATTCTCACCAACAAGCCTCCAAAATAGCATCATTGTGGAAGACTGGCAGTACTCATAATTTCCTCATATCAACAAGGAGTAAAATAACTTATTCCCAGAAATTTTTTGACCAATAAACTGATAATTTTAAGTCTTAGGGTGTCCACCAACTTATTCTAAAGACAAACTGTTTTATTCTTTTCTTAATTTTAGTGTCTTTTAATGGGTATAATGTGCACCACTACTAATACTAATGAAATTAATGCCCTGTATTGTCAATAGACAAATTTAACATTCCTAAGAGCTATTTCCTGCTGTTTGCATAATGTTCATTTTTATGCCCCCCTTCGAAGAAGGGGAGGGCATATTGCTTTGCTGCTGTCCGTCGGTCGGTCTATCGGTCCATTTAGTTTCCGTTCATTTTCTTCACAACCGTTGCACATACTGAAATGAAATTTGGTATACAGGTTTATCAGGTAAATATCTAGATCAAGTTCTGTTTTGGGTACGATCGCACCATTTTTGACAGAGTTATGCCCCTTGGACTTAGAAAAATTCCATTTATTTGCAGTTTCCGTTCATTTTCTTCGCAGGGGTTGCACATATTGAAATGAAATTTGGCATACAGATTTATGAGCTAAATATCTAGGTCAAATTATGTTTTGGGTACGATTGCACCATTTTTGTTAGAGTAATGCCCCTTGGACTTATAAAAATTCCACTTATTTGCAGTTTCCGTTCATTTTCTTTGCAGAGGTTGCACATATTGAAATGAAATTTAGTATACAGGTATTTCAGATAAATATCTAGGTCAAGTTCTGTTTTGAGTACAATCGCTTCCTTTTTGTTAGAGGTATGCCCCTTAGACTTAGAAAAATTCCACTTATTTGCAGTTTCCGTTCATTTTCTTTGCAGAGGTTGCACATATTTGAAATGAAATTTAGTATACAGATATATCAGATAAATATCTAGGTCAAGAAGTGTTTTGGGTACAATCGCATCCTTTTTGTTAGAGTTATGCCCCTTGGACTTAGAAATTCCACCTAATTGCAGTTTCCATTCCTTTCTTTGCAGAGGTTGCACATATTGAAATGAAATTTAGTATACAGATTTTTCAGCTGAATATCTAGGTCAAGAAATGTTTTGGGTAGGATCGCACCATTTTAGACAGAGTTATGCCCTTTTGGACTTCAAAAAATTCCAATTTGGGGGGAGGGGGGCATAAGTGTTTTACAAACATCTCTTGTTCTCACATTGTCTTTTGTAAGTTACATGTAAATATTCTTAATCTTCTTGTAAGTTACCT